AATTCCCACAAATAAATATCCAATTAATCAATCGTATTCAATCGTCGCCCAGCGAAGTCGGGCGCGGTAACAACATCATTTTGGTGTTGATTGTGTTAAACACCGGAGACAATGCTGGCAAAATTGGCGATGATTATTATATATTTTTTCCGCTTTTTTCTCTCTCTTCATGTCAACAGTGGCTTTTACTTTGAATTCTGCGTTGAACATATGCACAGATAGTTCAATGGACCCGGTTTATTTTTTTTTTTTTTCAACGCATATATGAAGTGCGGTTCGTGATGTTTATGCTAAACTTACTCTTTATTAAAGTATCCAATTGTAATGTCGCATCGCATCGACGACGTTTGCACCGAGCGTAGCGAGCGAACGAGCAGCGAGCAGAGCAAGAGATCGTGATCTGCATTATTTTACGTATTTCTATGTTTTCCTATTGAGAATTAGAGAAAGCTGACTTGGAGTGGGCTCAGGCTCAGGGTGATCCGTAACCGCTTTTTTTGGTGGATATTAAAAACAATCCACTGTCAAATGGTAGTTATTTATAAAATTGATTGCTTTCAATGAATATGACATCACACAATCCGATCATCAAACGATATTGTACGTATAGTTTCAACGTAAATAGCAACTCATAAATTTACATCACACACTATTTGTCTATACACGAAATGAACACCCGCGCCTGTGTGTGTATGTGCACAGCACTCACGAATACACATACACACTCAGACACATGAGAAGATGTTGTTCAAAGTATGACCTTTATTTGAATGGAATCATTTAGAAGTAATAATTTCACTGTGCTCAATTGAATCCAGCCGAAGAGCGAGAGATAGATTGGACGGCTATTTGCTCGCATATATGCTTAGATGTGCGGTTGCAAATGTTTGAACAGTGGGCACTAAAAGCATGACAAAAACGATCAACATGAGTTTTTAATTTGGATTGCATGCCCGCTCACTCTCGTCGTCACTGAGTTCAAGTTTTATTTCACTTCTCGTGCTCTTGCTCTCTACCGCTCTACACTCCCTTTCGCCATTTCTGAATAATTTAATTAACGTTTTTAATGTATTTGACTCGAGCCGAGAACCTTATGACGACTGCTATCTACGTTTCGAATCAGATACATCCATTTCACAATAATTTCTTTGCGCAACAACCAACCGGTCGCTTGACCGACCGACCGATCCAATGAAATGTAAATTGATGCAGAAAAATAGCAACACAACTTTTCAATCATTCTAATTTTCAACAATTGTATCGCAGAAAAACTCACAAAATTTTCGTTTTTGAACTAATGTACTTGGTAAAACAATAAATTTTATTCACATATGCGAGGGCCCAATGGATTTTTTAAAACTCGCACCGTTTTTTTTCAGACACTTTTTCAAAAAAAAAAAAAAATAGAATGAAGAATAGTTTTTTTTCGGGGATTTCATCGTCATCATTCAATCTAAAACAATTAAAACGCATCCACCGAAAAATAATTCACAACACTGAATAACTAATGATTGGTCACATGAGAACAACAATGAAAACAACAACAAAAAAACCAGAAGAACAATACGAATGAATAGAGTTGGTACTTCACATCACATGAACTCCCTCACAATCAAAATATGCAATCAACATAAAAGTTGCTCGAGCAGATATGAATGCGTAATTTCTAAACAAATGAATATTACCGAACTTTGTGTATTTATCTTCCAGTGAGCTACCGTTTCGTTCAAACAACAATACACGGTGCGCACACACAGAGCACTCAACAATCAACAAACAGTGTACTTTTTTATGGAAATGAATATGTGTGACAACGATGAAAATGAACACAATGAACATGAAAAAAGCACTAAACAAAAGCAAACCATAACTTCAGTGGACCAATCGAAAAGAGAGAGAGAGAAAGAGAGAGAGAGAGAGAGAGAGAGATAAAAAGAAACGTACAATTTAATAAACGGTCGTCACGGTGCACGCGAACACACTTATCGAAATATGATTTGTGAAAATGTGGCCTATTCTTTCTACTATTACAGCTCTTTTCATTTATTCAATTTTTGTTTTTCTCATTTTATTTCGGCGAGCTATTGTCGTCGGTGTTACTCTTGGTGTTGTTGGTATTCAGAAAACAAGAAAATACGACACAAAAAAAAAACACACACAGCAGCGCAACTGATTCGAGCCCATCGACGGTATTTATGTGAATAAATGTAAAAATAAATACGGAGTGCTGTTGTAGCTGATCCCACATTCGAGCGGCGCGACAATTTAAAATTTTTATACATGCAGAAAAAGATATACACACAGCATTGACGACGATGACGACTACGGACGAATACGATGAATACGGACAAAAGAGAGAGAGAGAACGTGTGCGAGGCGCGAGAGAGGGAAGGGAGAAAAATTTGAAAGAGAAAATGAGTGAGAACTATTCAACAAAGTGAAGAATGACAATCACCGAAAATTGCCATTAGGCCCGAGTGCAATAAAAACCGCTATGAAAGTCTATGTCTCTTTCTCTCTCTCTCTCACTCTAGTTCGGTGACTCTGTCATATTTTTTTCTCCGTTTGCTTCCATTTCCATTTCCAGATGCGGTCGACCAGCCAGCAGTCAACGAACGAGTTTTCCATCATCAAAATATTCCGGAAAACGATTTGTTGTTGTTTCGTTCGTTCGTTCATTGGTTTGTTTTGCTTTTTTTTCTCAATTTGGTCGTGTGTTTGTAGCGACGAGAATCAGTTAAAATTCACTTTTATTCATATGCGTGCAGGGGAAGTGCCGTTCGAAAAAAAAAAAACAGAGGAAAAATAGAGCGAAGAAATCGTTCGTGATGTAAATAGTATAGACGACAAAGCAGAAAGGAAAGAAAAAAACAACATATAAAATATATTCAATCGCATAGGAGAGGAGACTCTATCGACAGGCAGTCGAGCGTGTGTTTGTGCACATTTTTCATTATTCACGTCGCGAGCGCTACTAGTTAACGCGACCAACCTAAATAGCGATCGGCTCATAGAACGACGTACCACAAACTAATATCGATTCCGCGCTCACTTTCGGTTCTCTCGCTCGTGTCGCCCGTTTCTCGCATATATTCATCTCGACTCACCCATGCTGCACACTGCATGCTGTTTATGCTAACTACATACATATATTGGTTGTAATGTGTACGGTTTCCCATATGTTTTTCCTATCTCATGTAACTGATGACTACGTTTCTCTAGTTCAATTTTAGCTTTTTTTTCTATCTGTGTTTCGTTTTCCTCTTTTCTCTCTCTCACTTCCTCGCCCACTTTTAGTGATTTTGTCTTTGTTGTTGTTCAATTGCGTTAAGCATTTAATTTTTCTATTACACTCGTGCACAAACACCATTTCAGCGGTTTCATTCGATCGACTGAATACCGCTATGTGCATGTGACTTGTTTTTCGGCATTTTTTGTTTGGCTATATTCAGTCCAATGACACCCTGAACGTGCACGATGACCATATATGCGGAGCGTCGGAATTGAAATACACAAAAAAAACAATAACAACGCCAAAATGATAGACATTCGAAAAACAAAACGAGAATAAAAAAGAATCTAACCATTTTAGTGGACCCATTAGAATCGATCCATAAATGCAGCAGATTTTTTGACATCACATAAAACAAATCTAACATCTTACAACTGTTCATTTGGAGTCGTTGGAACGTAATTGTCTCACATTTATCATCATTCCCATAAAATTTGATTGTTCGTTGCGAATGTTTTGTTTTTCTGTACTTTGCCGACTAATCAATAAAGTGGATATGGAATCCTTTCATTATTGGATTTTATCTCACTTTCGGAATCTCTATGTTTTTTTATTTTCTCGGTGTCAATTTCTTCTGTTGCGTATACATAATATCTTATGATTCTTAAGGTCATCTCGGTTGTTATCGATATACTCGATCACTTGGTAATACAAACCATGGCATTCCAATCGTTATTATCTTGATATTTTTCCAATGGTTATTACTATCTCCTCTTTTCCTTCTTTTCCCTTCTTGCTCATCACACTCGCTCGATACACACTCCCATTCATAAGATCGAGAAAAAACACTATAATCAAGAATTAATTTGAGCTGTGATACTAGTTAGGCATTTTATCTACGAGTCGATTTTCTTCCTCCTTTTTTTTCATCTTTGTGAAGTAATCGGAAAGTAGTAGAGGCGGCCACAAAAAGCCATGAATCAAAAACGCGATGAATTGAAAAGAAAGCGGCTAGCAAAAAGTGGCTCGAACTGTGAACCAACAACGATGTGTGTTTGTTCCTTATGAAATCACACATTTTTTCGTCGATATTTTTAGATTTGAAAAAAGCACCATTTTCATGAGTGACATTATCGTCCGGTGACTTCACAACGGATGCCAAGAAATTGAAGACGAGTCGCATCGCAGAAGCAAGGAAAAAGAGAGAGATTTGTTTCAGGCATTTTTAATTAATAGATGCGTGCGGCGGTGGCTTATATTCGTTGTTGTTTTATTTTGCTTTAAATCCGTAGCTATGTGGAAATCTTGGACTTGAAAAACTTCGGGGCACTTTCATCAGAAAGCTGAGAGAACGAGAGCAATCAATCTACAGCTAGCCCTAGCGCCCATCAGATTTTTATCTCGCAATAATTCAAAATGATTTTTCCTTGCTGCTGTTGCCGTCGCCGCGGATGTTGTTGCTGTTGTTGGAATGTGCAATTTGATTATTAATCCAATTTCTCGACAATTTCATCGTTCGTGTCCTCAAGGCATAAGTAAGCTATGGAAAAATGTACCGTTTCGACGTTGGAACGGCGCACGTGCGTACCCTACCCTCTCCGCGAGTGAAAAGATCGAAATGAGCAACAAACAACTTTCGACGGCAACTTTTAACGTAGTCAAAACAAATACAACTATAGCGGCTGCTGCTACCCTTGGCACTACAAACGCAGGCCACCGACGAATCCAAATTTAGTAATAAACAAACGAAACTAATCAAAATATTTACCGAGTATGTAAAATACACTGCTGCTTATACGTCCATTCGGCCACAAGAAGAATTCACAGATTTATCCATGATTTTTTCCTCCTTATTTTCTTGCTCTAATTTTAACTCATGAAATACATTTTCTTTTTCTTCGCTCGAAACTAATAAATCTTGAATGAAATCCATTTTGATTCCATCATTCCGTGTTTTTGAGGTCTCTTTCTGTCACAGCACCGTGAAACTTTTTCTTTTCATTTGCACTTTCAAGTGCCGTAGAATACGGCTATTTGCTGCAATCGATTTTCTGCATCGTTTGAATCGACGGATATCGATTCCGTGCTAATGTCTGCACTTTTCTCTCCATTTTGACACGAATTGATTCACATTTTACTTGAAATTATCCCATTAGAGCACAACGTAAAAGAAAACTTACTCTATTCGACGTTTATAGATCTTTACCGATTAATTGAAATTCATAATTTTAAAATCACGTTCATTTCCACTATTTTTTTTTTTCGAGAACCACAAATAAATTCACACAACGACAACAACAATAATAATCATATAAAAACGTCCACCAAAACCAATTAAATCTATTGAAAGAAAAATGAAAATGAAAAACTGAGGCTCGAGTAAGAGTGTGGGAAAAAAGAAATATCGAATATTTCTGTGAAAACTACTCGAAGAAGTATACAGAACAGTATCTAAAATCAAATGTGATGAGTATATTAAAATCCATTATTTGCAAGCCGTGTACGAATGATTTTTACTCATATATTCGATATTTCTATAGAGAGTTTGGATTCTGCGCCGTTTCCACTATATTTACGGACAAACCAACCGACCGAGTAAGAGAAGAAACATTCTGAAGTGTGATGATGACTGACGCAATGCACATGTATGTGTAAGCGCTATTCATTCGCTTACTATGTTCGTCGTTCAGTCCATGTTTGCCTGTGTGTATGCATGTGTGCGTGTGTGTGTGTGTGTGTGAATCCATGTATGTGTGCCTATGTGTGCACTCATCTGTGCACAATGGAATATCTCCAATGTGAAAACTGTTTTCATTGCGTTAGAAAAGGAAAACGACCAAGTACAACAAGGACAATAATAACATCTGCGGTTGGAATATTTTCAATCTGTACAATCGACTCGTGTTAGATGTCCTTTCCAGTTTTTCGTTCCATCATTTCAACACACATGTGTGATTGATTGTGCCGGGTCATTGGAATATAGTGTAACAATGCTATGATGAACGACTTTCCAGAGAAATTCCATTGATTCAAATCAAAATATATTTATTTCCGCAATAAAATCTCAAAACAAAATTCTATAATATACAAAAATTCATATAAAAGAGAATGAAGAGAAAATTATTCATAGGATATTTGAACTGGTTACTGGTTTTACAGTGGAACATTTGCACTATTGTCAATGGAATAGATTTGATAGTGACGTTTGAGCAATTCATGGATATATTCTTTGCAGCTGAGCTTAATACCTCGCGCCTCATTTGATATGAATGTTTGTAGGAACACTCGATTCATCTCATGCACCTTCGGATGTGCCAAGTATTTATCGAAATCCATCCATTCGCAGCGCGCAATTTCACGTTCACATTTGGTGATGTCTTGCGTTTCTGGTTTCAGAGCGATTACAAAGTATAGGTCGGAGCATCCGAATCCAAAATTGATTCTATTTGCACCACCCAAAGCGTGTCGAATGCACACTAAACTATCGAACTTTGTTTGGATTCCTGTCTCTTCGAACACCTCACGTATAACTGCATCCATTAAATGTTCATCTGAAATGCAAGAAAATAAGTTCAAGAATCAAAATAGTTTGAATGGATGATAAAAATATGAGTGAAACAATCATACTTGGTTCAACATAACCACCGGGAAGTTTCCAAGCGCCCGGCACAATGGATGTATTCTCCTTGATTGTAAGAATCTGTTGCTGATCATTCACAACCAAACCTCCAACGCCAATCATTGTGTGCGCATAAATGGGAATATTTGCTGATAAATCAACCGGCAACCATTTGTACATCATAACGAATCCCGCATTGGCATGGTGAAAGTCGAAACCATTCTACGTAAAATTGTTTATCGGAAAATCGAAAAAATTTGCATAAAAATGATTCAAGTTCGTGATTTAGAGTTATTACCTCAACAAGTGTTGGAACAATTTGTGCATGACTGGTTTTCACCTTGAACCAAATAGTTCGCATTGACTTCTGCTGCCAGTGTGCGAGGGAAGCTGTACAAAGGTCAAATATAAGTTAATTCCTTACATAACATTCGGAATATATGCACAGTGCACATACTTTTTAGCTTCTCGGCGAACTGTTCACCCACTGCTTCGTTTTCCGTCTCAATTGTGATGCCATTGTATCGGTCAACCGTGCCATTGAACACATTGATTTCGTCGGACATATTGCTACCGAAAAATCTGTGAACAATCCGAATTTTCTGTTAGAAACATGCGATAAGTCAAAGTCCAAGCACACAAATTGATACCTTTTAATTAAATTTAGTTGATTTAAATGAGAGTCTTTCACATAATTTTCCAAAATCCTCTGCACAATTGAGCGATAAAGCATTTAAAAACGCAAGAGTGGAAAATGTTGATTGAAAATTTGATAAGCAGTCACACGATTCGACGACAAATAAAAATACACCGACCAATGTGACAATCACTCGAAACCAAAACAAAGCAATCAAAACAAAATGTAAATAAGACTTCACGAAAAAATTGAAGTTGTCAATTTGCTTTGCGCGACGTTTACCATAATTTTTTTTTCTCTCTCTTTTGCCTCGAGGCGGCGAAATTCAAAATGTTTGCAGTGAAGCGAAATGAGAGGAATAGAATGAGCGTTCAAAAATTTCGAATGAAAATTAATGGAATTTTTCAAAAGGAATTTAATGCAAAATTCATAATTTCAATTTAAAAACATTTCAATCGAATCCAATTCAAACTCAAATAGCTCGATTGATTAACGAACCCTTTTGAACGAACAGAAGTTCCATGATGCTCAAACGCTGCGTTTCGTTCGCGCTCGAAATTGAAACGTCAAACATTCGATGGAGCCGTTTCAATGGAATAACGCATCAGTTTTGGAGGGAACGCAACGTTGGTGTGCATCAGTATTTGTGACAGAGTGGAACCGCATTGCACGAGAGACGGCACATTTTTCATTCGTTTCGACATTCTGCACGGAACAACATTTCATACGCCGCGCGCTAATACACACACATACGACTCGACACACACGAGAAGAAGAAGAAGAGAATAAAAAAAAAAAGTTGTGTTGGACAGTAGCTTATAGTTCAGTGAGAGAGGAAAAAAAACGGCGAGTTCTTTTACGTTTAATATTTTATACGGAGAACAATGGCGGCAGAGCAAGCTGATTTCAGTCAAATATTAAATTCATTGTTATCCGTTGACAATGCACTCAGACAAAGTGCTGAGGTAAGTGATTTAAATAGTGTTTCAGCGAAAAATTGCATGCAGTGTGAAAAACCAAAAAAAAATTCGTGATCACTGTACCTTAATCAGTTGGAAAAAGCGTAGCAAAAAATGTCCGCAATGTGCAGTGAATTAGACAGACAACGTGGTTTCTCTTGTGTATTATGACAATAAAAGAACCGACGGAGCAAAAAGAAAACGGCATAGCGTGTTTGTGATGTCTATATGAGTAATCGCACTGCTCTAACCTATAAATTGAATGTGATTTTCGAACTTTTTTCTCGTTCGCAATATGATTTCGCATTTTTTTTTTCTTCTTCGTCTGCAAAATGAGAGATTTTTTCGATTCGGAATTTTTTTTTCTTGGCTGAGAATCATGGGTTTCGGACAATGTTTTGTGCGAGACGAATGAATGAAACATGATGAATGTTTTGATGGAAAATGTATATTTTGATGCAGAATGTATTTTTTTTTTTCGTTTCATTTATAGGAGCAATATAACAATCTTCCAGTTGACGTCAAGGTGACTCAATTGCTGACTGCATTGCACGCGAACACCTTAAAAGAAGAAGTACGGCATATGGCTGCTGTTATTCTTCGACGACTATTTGCATCGGAATTTCAAGAGTTTTACACAGCTGTAAGTGATTAGCTTTGTAATTCACATCCTTTATGGACAACACTTGTCTCTGTTTTTTTGTTCTCCTCTTCTTCTTCTACTTCTCTTCAAGTTGAGCAAGTTTTTTTTAGGTTAGAATTGTTTTCTGCCTGTACTAGATATTATTTGATTTTTTTTTTCTTCTCTCGTGACTTTTTCTTGTTTAGTTACCAGTTGAGCAGCAAGCTCAATTCCGCCAACAAATTCTGTTGGCCGTACAACAAGATGTGAGTCCAGAGCTTCGTCGAAAAATTTGTGAAGTAGTTGCGGAAGTGTCACGGAATTTAATCGATGACGATGGAAACAATTCATGGACGGAAATCTTGAATTTTCTATTCCAATGCGCCAATTCGCCAAATGTTCAGCTGCAGGAGGCGGCGCTTCGCATTTTTACCGGAGTACCAGGCATTTTTGGCAACTTAGAATCACAATATATGGAGTTAATCAAACAAATGCTTACAAAGTCAATGGATCCTAGTTCAAGTCCAGAGGTGCAATTTCAAGCTGTTTGTGCTGTCGGCGCCTTTATCAATCGGCATGCAAAAGACAATGATGTGTTGAAGCATTTCGCTGATTTATTGCCACGTATCATTTTCATCACAGCCGAAAGCATCAAAGCTGAAGATGATCAAACATTATTGAAATTATTGATCGAGTTGGCTGAAAATTGTCCGAAATTTTTGCGATCACAAATCGAATTCATTTTCGACATGTGCATCAAAGTATTCAGCAATCCAGAGGTGGAGGACTCATGGCGACACCTTGCACTCGAATTGATTGTTTCGTTCTCGGAAAATGCACCAGCCATGGTGCGCAAACATGCCGGTAAATACATCGAAGTATTGATTCCGGCCGTATTGGGAATGATGACAGACATCGAGCACGATGACAATTGGTCCGTTTCCGATGAAATCAATGACGAAGACAACAGCGATAACAATTGCATGGCCGAATCGGCATTGGATCGCTTGGCTTGTGGTTTGGGTGGTAAAACCGTGTTGCCACACATCATCAAGATCATTCCACAGATGCTCAGTCATTCCGATTGGAAGCAACGCTATGCCGCATTGATGGCAATCTCAGCCGTTGGCGAAGGATCACACAAGCAAATGGAACAGATGCTCGACGATATTATGCGTGGTGTTTTGAATTACTTGGCCGATCCACATCCTCGCGTTCGTTACGCTGCCTGTAATGCGATTGGACAAATGTCAACCGATTTTGCTCCGATATTCGAGAAGAAGTTCCACGAACAAGTTGTTCCTGGTCTATTAAATTTGCTCGGCGATGTGGCCAATCCACGTGTGCAAGCCCATGCCGGTGCAGCCCTTGTTAATTTTAGCGAAGATTGCCCCAAGGTCATTCTCACCAAATACTTGGATGACATCATGAAGAAACTCGAAGGCATTTTGAACGATAAATTCAAGCAATTGGTTGAAACAGGAACCAAACTCGTTTTGGAACAGGTAAAAGCAATTGAATCACACAGAATAAAATAATAAGAATCCCTTTGATGAAACTAAATTGGTTAATGCTTAAAAAATTCAATCAAATGTTTAGATTGTAACCACGATCGCATCGGTTGCCGATACAGTGGAGAAAGACTTTATTCCGTATTACGATCGCTTCATGCCATGCCTCAAGTACATTATTGAGCACGGTACAACTGAGGAGTTGCGAATGTTGCGCGGCAAGACCATCGAATGTGTCAGTTTGATTGGATTGTCCGTTGGTCGCGATGTCTTTTTAAATGACGCAAACGCCGTCATGGAATTGCTTTTGAAAACCCATACCGAAGGTGAATTGGCCGACGATGATCCGCAAACATCGTATTTGATCAGTGCATGGGCGCGTATGTGCAAGATTTTGGGCAAGCAATTCGAACAATATTTGCCATTGGTAATGGGACCGGTTATGCGTACGGCTGCCTTGAAACCAAATGTCACCATGCTCGACAACGACGAAATCGAAGATATTGAAAACGACGCCGATTGGTCGTACATCAATTTGGGTGAACAACAAAACTTTGCCATTCGAACGGCTGGAATGGATGACAAGGCTTGCGCTTGCGAAATGCTTGTTTGCTATGCACGCGAATTGAAGGACGGTTTTGCTGAGTATGCTGAAGAAGTAGTACGCTTGATGGTGCCAATGTTGAAATTCTATTTCCATGATGGAGTTCGTTCAGCGGCCGCTGAATCCATTCCGTATCTCTTGGATTGCGCCAAAATCAAAGGACCTCAATACTTGGAAGGAATGTGGTTGTACATAAGCCCAGAATTGTTGAAAGCCATCGACTCTGAACCAGAAACCGATGTGCTTGCCGAATTGCTCCACTCATTGGCTCGAAGCATCGAAACGCTTGGTAAGTATTAGCGAAATAATTCTTTGGTTCAGACTCAGATTTCATAACATGGAGTCAAAAACAAAAGAAATCTGTTTAACAAAAATTTAATGACAAATTGTTCAATGTTTCCCTTTGGTTTACACATCCGTTTCAGGTCCAAACTGTTTGTCACCGGATGCAATGAACAGTGTGTTGAAGATCATTCAGAAATTCATGTCTGAACACTTTGAACGCGAAGAAAAACGAGCCATAGCACGCACTGAAGAAGACTATGACGATGGCGTTGAGGAGCAATTGGCCGAAGAAGATGACAACGATATTTTAATCTTATCAAAAGTTGCCGATATCATTCACGCTCTATTCAAGACCTACACAACCAGTTTTCTACCATTCTTTGATCGAATTGCACCAAGTTTTGTCAAATTATTGGATCCAAACGGACCATGGGCAGACAGACAATGGGGATTATGCATTTTTGACGAAGTTATTGGTAACTTGCTCACTTTCGCCATTCTAACTGAAGATTTTATCAAATGAAAATTTAAATTCGAATTGTCTGGTTTTTTTTCTGTATGAAAACAGAGTTCTGTGGACCGCTTTGTGCACAATATCAACACGTTTTCTTACAACCACTCCTACAGTACACCAAAGATAAGAGTCCCGAAGTTAGACAAGCTGCCACATACGGATGTGGTGTTTTAGCTCAGGTAACGATGAAACTTCACTTTTGTTTACTGTGTATTTCCTTTACTTTTTAATCTCCCTGAATGAACGTTTAAATTAAACGTTGCTAATCAAAATCTGTTTGTTTCGGTTATGTTTAGTTTGGTGGTGATCAATTTGCCGTCCCGTGTGCTCAATGCGTTCCAACATTGGTTGAAATTGTCAATGCACCACAAAGTCGTGAACCAGAAAACGTAAATCCAACAGAGAATGCCATATCGGCTATCACGAAAATCCTAAAATATAACAACACGGCCCTTACAAATCTCGATGAACTGATCCATTTGTGGTAAGTGTTAATTTTTTGTTCAGATTCAGATGTCAGATGGAACCAGAAAGAAAAAAAAATCCTCAACAAAAATTAAAAATGAATGACAAATTGTTCAATGGTTCCGTTTGTTTTCCAAATTCCCGTTTCAGGTTCAATTGGTTGCCAGTGACAGAAGATGAAGAAGAAGCACCGCACGTGTATGGATATCTATGCGATTTGATTCAAGCCAATCATCCAATTGTGTTAGGTGCAAACAATTCAAATTTGCCACGCATTGTGGCTATCATAGCCGAGGCATTGTATCGTGATGTGATCGAACCAACGCACGAGGTTGGTCGCCGAATGTTGCAAATTGTCAAACAGATTGAACTGAGTCCGGACGTGTTTCAAGCATGTTTGAGTAGTTTGTCAGCTGATCAAAAGAGTGCATTGGAGGATGCTTATCGGGAATTAGCAGCCGCAACTGTAACCGTATGAACACAACAGCCAACACCATCACCACCACCACCACCACTAATACTTTGACAATGGTTTTTGTTAAACTTATTTTAGAAAGAAATTCATATTTTTTTTTTATTGCGATTACGTAATTTTACCGAAATTCTTGAAAAAAAGCATTGTGTGGCACTTGCAGGGTTCGAATCAATTAATATTTATTTTCTAATCATCTACTCGGAATGTACAATATCTATTGAACTGATTTGTTTTCTAGACTTGTCCTTTATTTTCATTCTTTTCTACATATTAGTGTCACACATGCAACTATTCTCTCCGCCGAGTTTGCTCAACGCAAGTGATATACCGACATTTATTTTTCAGAAACAAGAAAAATAAGCCAATATCATCTCCCCTCACTTCGAATGGGATTTGTTCGAAAGAAAAATACAAAATTATGTTTATTCACATATGTATATGTTTTAAAGACGGAAGAGAAGTTACGATTGTTCTAGAGTCAGCACTCTAAAAATTATGATTATTTTCCAATTGATTCATTAATGTAACAAAAACCACAGCTAAAACAAATCGAAATTTAAATGCAAAATAAAAAGATTTCTTGTTATATTATAAATTCAAATTCACTTTTATTTCTTGATCTTCATATTGGCATTTAAGACAGCAGAGATATTTTTTTTTATGCAAACACTTTCTAAAATCTAAAATAAAAAATCGTTAATAAATAATTTAAATACAGAAATAAATAAGACAGAGATGCATCTGTTTAATGGAATAGCTTTTTAGCAATGCGATCGATTTCATTATCAATGTGATCCTGAGGCAGTTCACACACGAATTTCTGATGACCGTTACAATCAAATCCGTACAGTTGATAAATGTGTTTGTTGGGCTTGTAAGATAGTCCCAGGCATCGGCCGAATCCTTCGATTTTCATATCGCTGTCATTCGCCGGTGTGTTTGTTATCTTTGTGGCTTCGACGATTTTCTTCGCGCTAGCAATCGGTGTAGTCGAATTGGTGCTGGTTCCTTTTTTATTGCTTGACGTCTTTTTATTGTCGGTTTTAATTTTCGTCGCGACTTTTGGTGTTCCGTTGGCCGGAGCCGATTGTGTTGAATTGTGAATTTGAGTTAAATTCACATTTGGATTGACCGGTCGTGCGGAAGTTGACCAAATCCACAACAAGCCTGGATTCAAACCGCCCAACCAAAAGTTACCGTGTCCACTCAAAAGTTGCTGATGATTCAATAAATATGCGGTCATATCGTTATTTTCATTCGAACCATCCAGTTCCGCCAAATGGGCACCATACGAACGACAAATATTATTGGCCGCTTTCCAATTCGCCGGTTGATTCACCACGAACAAATAACAATTGTCTCCGACTCTTGTGAAGTTCATGGGACAAGGTTTTTCTAGCATTTAGAAAGGAAAAGTGAATATGTTGAACATTTTGATTGCACAACATGTATAGGTGAAGCCAAAAAAAGAACCAGTTCTTACCATAAATTTCTTTTTTGTGCTCGTTGTTGCCAGCCATTAAATAGTAAACAATTTGTTCCGTTTTGCGTAATCGACGTTCCATGTAATCGACGCGAAACACTAATTTCTCGATAGCACTCAACAAATAGAGATCGGTTTCGGATACTTCGGGACCATTTTGTTGAACACGATCGTTGAAGAATTGATTGGGTCGATTGCCGGAGGTGCTGGGACCGTTGAATTGAAAATTTTGCTTCGAAGCTCCAGGTCCCAGTGGTGTCAAATTATCTACTCTTCTGTTGATGTACGCATTTGATGTTGGAATATATCTGTATGGTTGTTGTATCGATCGACCATCACGTGCATACGATGAACTGGAAAAACAAACATTTCATCAATCGAATCCGTTTTATTTTTTTTAGTAGAAATGGAATTTTCCATAAAATCAAACTTACTTGATCGTCAACTCCTCAAGTAGAGGTGACCAGATTTCGTGTTTTTCAAATGAGTCATGCGCAACACTTTCGCTTTTGTCGGATTTGTTGGCTTCGTTAACATCGTCGATTGCAATAGCCGTTGACAGAGTGTAATGCAAACAATGCACGAAGCAAAACAACGTAATACCCATCATTTTCCAAGATCCAACTGTATCCATAATTCAATTGCATGGAAAATTATCAAACAAAAATCCGTTCAACTTAAATGCACTCTTTATTCATTGATCTCGAATGGCACTTTCGTTTTTATTTCTCTAAAATTTTCACTTGTTGCGGATGCGTGGTAGAGAGCAGAGCAGAGCCAAGTGATGTGATCACTGCACTGACGCAAAACGAAATAAAATGCCGACGGAATGGAGCATTGTTAAACCGATATGCAACATGAATGGATAGGTATGTGTTTACATTTCGATTATGAATTGATAATTATTCACTCGGTGTGTCGTGTAAAATGCGTAAAAACCACACTCGGTCTCGTCACGTATGTGATATGGAAAGCACACCATGTATGCCCATGTATTCATGATGTGTGTATGATGAAGCGATGCAGCAATATTATTTAAGCAATAAGTGGAATTACCACACCATCTCACACACACACACCACCAGCACAACCATGTCTGCTTTGATGGTCAACATACATGCAATGTGACAAGGTGGCCCGCATATATGAGATAAATATGATTGGCATTGGAGAAAGTTTTTTTTTTCTCTTTCGTTTCACTCTTCAATGGATTATTTTGTCGTGTGCTTCGTAAGCTGCTTCTTATGTCTGCCAGGTGATGATTTATATACCAGCTTTTGAACGATAAATCCTATTGCATTTTTGTAGGTCACCGTACACACACAAAAAATCAAGTTCTTTATTTTTAGAGCATGCACTTTTGTTCTAGTGCCCAAAAAAAAGAGTGATACTTAACATTTCGATGCTGAAGCCGGATGTATACTTTGGAATTTACACATAGCACACACATCATTCATCGTCCACATTATGTAAATGAATTGTTTTGGTTTCGGTTTCGCCAATCTGTGTGTCGTTTGCTCAAAAAGTGATATCGGCGAATTGATTCACCAAATAAATAGAAATCCCACTAAAAATAAACCACAAAAACAATAAAAACAAATTTAGAAAAACAACCGTTTTTTTCTGTAATAACAAGCTCAAAGTATGCTTTTATTTTGCTATTATTCATAAATTGGCAAATAATTAACTAAAATGGATGTATTATTGAGGCATGATTTCGATGATTGTAGGCACAGCAGCAATTGAAAGCTATCTAAACGCATTTTAGTTTTTATTCTAAAGAATATCTGAATTTAGCTATGAATTTTAATTCGATGTATCGCGGTTTTATCTATTTTCTGTTTGTTTACTTAAAGGCATTTCTTTGAAGTGGAGAGGCAAAAAAAAATTTTAACAGTCGCAAGAAGCGCTTAAATTCTCTATGCATATAAAATAGCTATTGACGATATAATTAAACATTCTAGAAGCAACTGGTTAACAAATTACCTATAGCTTTAAAAGTAAAATTCGCGGTTTCGTTTTCTCGTTTAATATTTTTTGTACCCTATTACGAGCTTAATATCTAATTGAATGATTCGGTATCGCTGCTTGGCCGTTGCCAGATGCTGTTGATTTTCGTTTTGAGCGGTGAAAAATCGATTTTTCGGAATCGTGCCCATGACCGTGTGAGACCGTTACTTGAGCCATCCGAGCCGCTTGGAATGTGGTAGTTTTTTTTTGAACGCATCGCTGTATCGATGCTACTGTTGAGCCGGTCATCCGGTGTCAGTTCGGTCGGTGTGGATGGTGGTGTTTTCAAGCGAATTGCCAATGTTGCCCACTTGTTGTAAATACGACGTGGTGATGACTTGATCTTTGTTGCTTTGGCATTCTTTTCGAAGCTCGAATGACGGTTTGGTTCGTATTTTGTATTTGGATCCAAATGTGACAGCACCGTTTTCGAATCGAATGACGGCGGTAATGTATCGTATTTGCAGCTTCTGGCCGGTTGATATGTTTGATGATGTGAGCCATTATCGTGGTAACAGTTTTCGTTTTCGTTTTTGTACGCAATTGCAGTTGGATGATGCTCAAATTGAGTGATATTTTCCGTAACCGAACCACGACGCTTGAATTTTTGTACTTTACCAGATGTTGGTGTTTTCAATACACCTTTGCAGGTTTGTTTCTTTGCATTCTTGAAATGAACCAAATTATTACCGATTTCTGTATTGCTTTCCTTATTCACTGGTATTGCAACTGGTGCGCTGGGTTTGCGACGATTTTTCGGTGTCATTTGTTTTGCATTCTTCGTATTAACAGTGTACTTTGTTGAATCTTGTACGGGTGAAGACTTCTCGTTCGGGAAGTACGACGGTGTTTTCTCGTCGAATTTCGTTGAATTGAAAACAAATGGGCTTTCGTTGATATGACATGTTTCGGTAGTTAGCGGTGGTGATTCTGTATATGTTAATGATATGGCGTCATCGTGTTCCTGTCGATAATTTGATGGTGTTTCGGGTGTAATGCATCTGGTGCTCGACAATGCAGCATTTCCATCGTAGCTGCTAACACCAGACGATGTGGTAATATCGCTGAGTGATGCTTGGTTTGAATGTTCAATTGATCTCAACGAACAGTACAGCGACGGACGATCCTCATCAAAATCAAATGTTCGTTCGAATGTTATATTTTTCAAGGCATTCGCAACGGGAGATTCAATAGATAATTTCGTTATGGTGGAGAGATCATTTTTGGGTAGGATCGGAGCCATTGCACAATAATCGGATGAACTGTCGAGACCCTTATTCGTTCGATTTAGCTGATCTTCAAAGTGTGTGGTTGATGTACGTACTAATTTATATCTATCATCTTTTTTTAGGATTGGTGCCATTTTACAGTAGCCGGATACGTCACAGCCAAGAAATGAGTCACGACCATTCACATTGGCACCAACCAAATTGATAGCTGACGAATTGGCGGTTGATGATAACGTGAGCGACAGATTGTGCGACCAAAGTATATTATCGGATATGTTGAGTGTAGCGGGACGGCCAACGAATTGATTGCTTGAACAGTTGAGCGAATTTGAGCGTTCAATATCCATTACATCTAAATCGACTTCTTCGCCATCGCATTTGACTGATGTCGCCGCTTTGTTTGGTTCGATTATAATCGTTAGATCGGGCGTTGAAAAACTATTTTTGCAGTTTGCCAACAAGTTTGGCTCGCAATCGTTTGAGCATAACTTTGAAATGGATGCTGTGGTTTGACTTTTTGACGCTTCCACTGGTTTACCGTTCTTTGATGCTTCCTTTGTACGGCCAAACACATTCTTCAGGTTCCAACTTGATTTACGTGTTTTTGTCGAAGCTTCGGCTTGCAATTTAACTGGTGTATAAACATTGCTGAACGTTGGACGACGTGGCGGTAATGGTGGTGGTTGTTCAACACTCTCGTTTCTATTTAAAAAAAAAATACGAAAAAATTCTTGTTCAATAACAGTTCAAAACAATTTTTTTTCTCCGAAAAAAAAAAAAATAATCCATTTGTCGCAAAGCAAATAATAAAATACATAGAACATCAATATTTCTACTTACAATTGTAATGGTGCTGACATATCAACGTATATAGCAGACACGATTGAGACGCGTGACTCTTGCTCTTTTTTACTGAAATCGAAAAAAAAATGTAAGCGATTAGTATTTCTCAAATAGAGTCGTTAAGAATTTTCCCAGAAAAGCAGATAACGAAATGGCGTTAATACATACACATTAGCATCAGTTGGATCTAAAATATCGTCATAAATGTTTGAGCAGCCCGATGAACGTCTCAACGACAATCTGGAATTATCACAACTAACTGGAATATCAGGAAGTGGACCAAGAATATCGTTCATATCACGTCCAATATGCGTCTCATTCAGACTTTTTTTCGATGTGTCCAACAATGAATCATCGTCATCAAACGTAACTGCATTTATTATTGTTCGGCTGATACGATGATTTTCCAAAATTTCTGCAAATTCAGTTTGTATACAATTAATTTCAAAACAAAACCAAAACCAAAACCATAACCAAAACCATTTCCCAAGCCATAAATTTCGTCAACAAAAATATGTGATACGTTTTGCAACAGATGAAACAAAGAAAAAAAAAGTGTCAAGTAAACAACATACCTTTCCGATATAGTTCCAAGGAATCGATAGATTGTTTCACCCATTTCATGTGCATTGAGCACGATTGTTTGTTCTGGAATGCGAGAAAAAGGCGACATCGCTTACGGTTATTTTTCCAAAAAATGCCATACGTAAACGATTTTGTACGTGACGCAGCCGAACCAACTCGCACGCCTGGTATATTGAGTCGAATAATACTGATTGGATATTCACGAGATGCATCATCCTTATGATAGAAAGCAATTTTCAAATAACACGGAAAACATTCGATTGCTTCAATTTTAACCAGGCATTCCATCCAATTCACCCAATTCTAATGAGCACAAAAATAGACGGAAAAAAATTAGCATAATTCAAATAACAATTAAAAACAAGAGCATTTAAAAATAAACACATCAACACAAAGATCAAAGTCTGGAATTTTACACATTTTATAGATTTGCTCTTTTAAACTCACCTTCAAACAGCTATCGCTTTTAACGTCTTTCAGATCTAATTTGACATCAAGTAATTTTTCATGTGATTTATCCATTGTGAACAAAAACGCCGTTGCGAATTTGATAATTTCCGATGCGATTCAGCGAGAATCGCTCAGTTCGTATGACAAACACTTTTTAACTGTGCCATATTGGTAGCTGATCGCAGTATTCAGACACAGTTTAAAATCAACGATGAAGAAGAAAAAAAAGTCCCAACAAAAAAATAATGTATTTAGAATTACACTTTTATCGAATTGCTATTGTGTTCGTTCGCCACCATGTGTTTTTTCAACTAAAATCCAACTGTTTTTTTGTTGTTGTTGTTTTGTATGTTTTTATGGTTTACAAATTCGGTTGAACCAAATGAATGTTCTCACTGGAATCCACTGACGCAATATTGTCACTAGTTTCCACAAATTAAAAGTACGATGAATCGGCGATAATCAACAAAAAACGTTGTGACGAAGAAAAAAATTGTCAATATAGAGCGGAAAAAAACGGTAGAAATATGAGCACCAATAACAACAACAATGGCAACTGAAAAATCAACAAAACACGATTGAAGCAAAAATCGAATGGTGGTGGTTTTTTTTTTCCTTCACTTCTGCTCGTTCTCTCTCAATCGTTGTTTGCTTCAAGTAAACGGTTGTGCACACCACACCCGATTCACGTGCCAAAAAAAACGGCAACTCCAATAATACTGCACTTTTATTTAGCGAAGGAGTAACCAACAAAAAAATATGTGTCTATATATGTGGAAATAAATTGGATTTGCTCTGTTTATCTGTTTATGCGTTATGAGCTCAAAATACACGTGAGAATTCGACGCGCGCCTAAATTTTGTGTATGGCTTTTGTTGCTGTTGTATGCGTTCTCCCTCAAAATTCACAGGAATCCCAGTGTACACAGACACACACACACACTAACACATTGACTCAACGCAATTGTGTGTGCACAACACAGACACCAACAGGTTTGAATGCATCCATATGTACGATGGCACATGTGAACTCCAAAACATTGACATTGAATAGCTTGAACTTAAATGCACTTTCTTTCGTCCATATAATAATTGCACACGACACAATATAATCGATTAATGATCACACACGAAACAAAAAAAATGTTTCTACGATGCTCGTAAAAATATACTATTGAACTCCTAATTACAACGATCATGTATAGATTTTTTGTACGATGATTTTCTTTCTCGTTGATTCAGTTCTTTGTTTTGCTTTTGAATTTCAATGATCGACGTTATCGGCAGAAATATTTGTTTTACTTTTCTCGGTAGTAGACTTTACAACGAATTTTATTTCTTTTGCTTGAATGACTCGCGTCTGGTGTCAAACAATGTTCTTACTGTGTTCAAGTCCGTTTGAAGACTGAGCCAAGAAAATGAATTTTAGCGCGGCAATACATCGACGGGAAATACCATTCAGCCGAAATGTACGATGCGATAAGCGTACAATCGCTTCCACAGAATTTTTGATTTATTTATATATGATCTGCGTCATCAAATTTTTGAATCATAGCATTTTTTTTTTTGTAAATAAACAGAAATGGAATCATGAGTAAAGAAAACCATCAGAATTTGAATAGTGTGTCTTGCACTATTTGATTTTGGCAAACACGTTGCCATTAAACGCATTCAACGTCTTCGGATCTGGTGTAGTTGGTGTGCCACTCACACTCACGCACACACTCAATGAACAGATGTTTCTTGGATTTGCTTTTGTTATTGTTTTTCTTCGAACATCTTTATGTCTATTGTTTGAGTTTCTTTCTCTTTTGCCGACAGCGTCGTTTGTATGGCAAACCGTTTGGATTTGAAAATGTGCGTAAGACATTGTACGTTGTTTCCAAAACCACATGCTTTAACGTAATGAAAGTAAATCGAAACGGCGACACGCTACGACTGTTAAAGCCATAAAAACATCCACTTTGAATCGAACCAGAATTCAACACGATTCATTTGCAGTGGGTCATTCGCACATTGTTTTTTCTCCCTCGAACTCACACTGTGTGTTGTTCAATGCATTTTTAATATCCCAAGCCGATGCTTTCATAAGTTGAAAGAAAGCATCATAAGCACCGATCTCAGCAATTGTTCATTGTGCTTAGTGCAAACGAACTAATGCTCTCTTTGTTGTACGTTACGCTGACGTCATATTATCCAGTAGTGCACATATCAGGATACGATTCCACGAAATGGGCTGCGTAAACAAACAAGCGATAGCATTAAATTCCAGCATTTTTTATCAACATATTTTTTCATTCGAAATTTACATATTTTAGTTTCATGGGAATTTCGAATCAGACGATAAAATAAATTATTTTTAACCCATTTTTTACGCACGAATTATGTTAAGGCTTAGAAGCATGAGTCAAAGGTTAGTTGACTCATGAACCGAGATGCTGTAAAGTCTACAGCTGATAAATTGTTCTGAATTGTATGCATGCCTGTAACGTTTAAATTGAATTGGATGTGCTTTGTACAATTGTTGTTTTATACATCTAGAAACTAATATATTTCTTTGAGTTTGGATTTATAGGCTTCCCAATTGCGCTGTAAAATAAATCCAATTTTCACCTAAAATCCGTGGAAACTACAGGGAAAAACTTGATGTGGCTCAGAATATTAATTAATCATCAATACTAAAAAAAATTCCCTAATCTAAGATAACCGCAGGAACTCTCCTGAGAAAAAGCCAGATGTATATTTTTGATATGGATCTGTTCTTCGAATTCTGACTGTTCTATTTAATCTGCAAAATAAACAGAAACAAACGCTACTACTGATAACCGTGTTATATGTATTCCACAGAAATCATGCGTGACATGCATGCCAATATATTCATAGAACAACACGACATTCTCTTGTGAGTCACTGAAATGCCAACAATATTGAAAATTCATTTTTCTTTTATATTGCCGGGTATATTGAAAATATTCTTGTCTAATCTCCACTGCAACCGATCTATTTATTGCGACGTGCACTTTGTAATTGTTAAACGTTGACAATCGAACGGCGTTTAGCGCGGATCAGTCAATTCATTGACAAATACACACAAAATCACCAAAACAAACAAAATGAAACACACACATTTCGTATCGTTCATAAAGATCTGTGTGGATTGGGGATATTTTTAAAAGTTGAATTTTAAAAGTCATTTAAAGGCAAAAACATAAAAACAATGAATCATACTTGATTTGTATTCGCATTGAGTGCTCAATCGAACGGTGGTTTTACGAAATGGATTTAATCAGGGTATTTTTCGTTTAACAAACAAATTGAAAGTTGCCAAAATAAATGTAAGAATAATTTTATCAATTGAAAATTTCTGTAAACAATTGTTCTTACCATGATTTTGCATGCATACTTAATGATTCAATTTTGCATTAACTTTCGCTGCGATTGTGTGTCGGTATTGACGAATCTCAAATCGATTATCGGTTTGTTTGAATTTCGGACTCTGCATATATCCGTATTTGGTAATAAAAATGGTGAACTGTTTAGGAAAGATTCAATGCAATTGGAATAAAATTCTATTTTATATGTGGTTTGTTCATAATGAAAACCAAAATCTGACCGCAACAAATATTTCTTTCATATAAATCTTCATTTGATTTAGGTTATCTACTCAAAATCGGTCGCATGGTAAATGTAAAATTTTCCTATTTTAATATCAAAATATTAAATAAAACGTTGTTAATAACGTTTTGTGTTGATGGAAACGGCACGAATTGATTTTTCTTTTAATAAAACTTTCGGCCTATTATAAAGAAGGCCTCAAATCTACGTTGAAATTGATAAATACTTCAATGGCTTGAACATAAGACTGTTTATTCAGCCTGAATGTTTAAAAATGTAGACAAAAACAATTACATTCCAACAATATTCTCTTTTCAAATTACGCGCTCCGTACTCAATTCGAATGAATTACGTACACCACTGGTAATTCCGTTACAAGTGGCGCCATCGCACATTACGATACAATATATATGAACATCGTGCAGATGAAATTCGGCCATGGTATGGATGAGGAAGAAGAAAAAATAACAAACACACTGATAGAGAACGAGACGGATGGGTGAATCGAGAGAAGAAAAAATAAAAACAATGAGAGAATCTGACAGCTGTTTTTTTCTCTCTTCAATTTGTAATACATCGTGAATATGACAGTTGTTCACAGCTACATGCTATGAGTGGTGTTGAGCAATCGAGCAAGCGAGTGAGATAGCAAAAGAGAGCACACGGAGAGGAAAAAAAAAACAATGAAAAAAATTCAGTCATACTTATTTTACGTCGATGCAAATGTTATGTGATTGGAGATGTGAGTGAAAAATATCATATGTGTGATCGGAGCAAGAGAAACGAGAACAAAGCAAAAATATTCGCAGCACAGTGAGGTTGTACCACAACAAATACAAACAAATGATTATATTTTTTCATTATTTTTCTTCTTCATTTTGTATTTCACGTAAATCAGAAAGTTGGAAGCGACAGTGAAGACGACGACGCAATAGAAATTGTTTTTTTTATCATCAACAAATTGATTTGGGCGAGAGGGAAAACACACTACAGAAAAAAAGCCAAGAAATCGTCTGAACAATGACGTTTCGACGTAATAAATTGATTGGTCGCCAGATCGGCTGTATCCGCACGAAATATTGATTCAATATGACGGCAAATTTTCCAATTCACTAGACATTTCCACATTTCGTGTGTTTGTATAATTAATTTAAGTGCTGTTAATGCTCCTTTCCTCGAGTGTGTGTGTGTGTTTACATTTTTGGTGGATGACAAAGAGTGAAAAATACGGAATAGTCAAATGTCAAAGTACTAAGTGCAATATCAAAAGTGGAAAAACAATTTGCTATCCTTGTTTGTACTGAAGTGAAGTTAACTAGCAAAGCAAACAGAAACAAAAACTTTTCATTTTAAACGAAATTCAAACGATGACATCTTACTTTGAATCGAATGCGATTATTTGCGCATTTTGTGAAATGAATTTTTTGTGATATTGATAAAAGTACTAAACGACATATGGTGAATCAATTTTAGACCGTTTGATGCAAGAGATTGGTTGTGCACTCAAAGCGAACAGGTAATTGTTCATTATTAAAACATATCCAATTGTTTGTTCTGAGTGTCTGTTTGCAAAGTGTGAAGTGGATAAACTTATTCATTGATTCGACGTTAATTCAAGTCAAATGATCTTGTCAGCGTTCAAGAACCATTGCGACGAAAATTCACTTTAGGCATATACAATCTGTATCACATATCTGTGATTCATATCGAATGAAAAAAAACATGTTTTTGCACTGAAAATCTGCTTTCAGCCGAAAATTCGACAAATACTTTTTTTATCCATCGATTCAAGGGCAGAGAAAGAGGTTTGTTATGTGTCATGTATGTTTTGTCGCATGTGCCCGCATCGATTCGTGTGTTTCAGTGGTTATGACGTCATTACGGCTCATGCATGGATCCTTCGATGAGTTTTCCAGCGACATACAATTTCCTTTCACTTCAAATAATTTAAGCTCCTTATCGATCGAATGAGTTCAAAGAAATCCAGCCCAAAGCTTATGAATGTTTGGCTATTTTCGATTTCAATCGATGCTGATAACAACACAGACAGAATGTGTTGAACTGAATAAAAAGAAATTCAGACAACCAGCAAAGATTAGCACTGTTTCAGTTCAGTCATGTCAATGTATTCCATTTAGCTTCCTTGAAACGATAATATAGTTAAATGGCAGTGATACGGTGTTCATCGCTAAATTCAAATGGATCATAATCCATTGAACATATTTCGCTATACACTGTGTGATACTGTGGTGTGCCGTTCAGCAATTTCGACCGTTCATTCGATTACTTGCGGATTTTAACATGGCTTCAACGTGAATCAAGTATTTGAGTACGGATTGTGCGTCGTACATATATGAAATCGCTTATTTTGTGTGTTATTCATTTGCAGTAAGAGTTTAATGGAACACAGAGAATATCACGAGTCAGAACGAGTAGCAATAAACATACACATCTATCGGTATACGCTGCGGTTGTTGTTGCTGCTGCTGCTGCTATTGAAATAGTCGATTCCATTTCCATGTACAAATTCACTGTTCAGTAGAGAGTTGTTGCAGCGAGTGTGAGCTCTGTTTATATTTTATCATGAGCCCAATTATCGTATTGATTGAGCCAACGAATGTATTGGCTGAAATAAACAGCGAAAAAAAAACGATTAAAATCAACACAAGAGTGGTTGAGTGTTTTCCCTTGTTTGTTTTTTTCTCTCCATCTACTCCGTCGTTGTCGTCTAACGAACGGTTGTACTTGTTTTGTTTTTTCACATTGATTTCTAAAGGCTTCGATTTTTTTTTTGTCCATCGACCTAAGGGATCGATAACACTTAGCGATCGAATTACTCTTGCCAAAGCAATGGCAAACAATTGTCGACTCGGTTTTGCCAATACAATAATTGTTAATTGTTCTATGTGTGTAGTATATAACAGATATGGCTGGGCTATTTATGACCAGTGATGGCATTTTTCACGATAAATCAATTGTTTTTATTTTGTTTAGACAATGTCAAACAGTCGCAGTGAGCACAGTTATCAAATTGAAAATTAAACATTTGCCTCAATGTGTCTAATTCGGAATGGTCAACAAACACGCACACGCTCGAACCAAAAAAAAAAACATAGTGATTAAATTGTCTATTTATCAATGACGAGTGAATTCTTAACTTTTCGATATTTACATCAGGTTCATTGGGAAAAAGAAAAATAACAACAGACAGCTATCATTGAAATTTGTTTATTTTTGTCTCGTGCATTCTGTCTTAGTTTTCATCACGTACACCGCGTTATTGTTTCCACATAAAATAGAAATTAACTCGAGTCTGATATCAATTGAGATCTCGAATATATTTTTGGAATATACACATATGACCAGAACTGCTCATGTTAATTTACACCGAAACGAAACGAAACAACAACAGAAAAAAAATGTTTATTCACATTCACAATTGCAAGCACCAAGAAACAGACACATTTAATCGCGGAAAACACATTGGGAATATAGTTTTGAACTGTTTTGGGTTAATTGATATTGTGGGTTTTTTGTTGTATGTATAAAGAACATCGTTTTTTTGTTTATTGCAGCATATTGGACTGGACTGAAGGCAACTGCTTCTTCTTCTTCTTCAGTGAATAAATTGTGCGATGTGAAAGCCAGGACTGAAACTTCTATAAATTTGTTACAATTTTATTGAGGCATATCTATTGAAAAAATTAAAATCAAAGCCAAAACCTATCGGTCGATGGTCTTGCATCGTTTTTATTAACGACACAGAACAAATAAATTAGCAACTACATTTCGATTTTGTTTACAACAATCAAACACCGCACGTTGCAATGCATCGAATTATCGCGTCGTTGGCTTTCACATTTATAGTGTTTGTACAAACAACCAAGTCAGATGTACTGGTTTACTCACAATATAACAATCAGGTAAGACCTTGATGACTATTTTGTTAGACTGATAAAATAAATGTGAACTTGTATTTTAATTTTCAATGTTATTATTTAGCAAATTGTTGAAGAGTTTCACGATTTGCCCTCTCGATTCGGTACCGCATTTCCAGTCAATGGATTACGTGGCCTTGCGGCCTATTCGAATCCATCAAATGCATGCACGCCTATCAACCCACCACCACAGAATTCAACCAAAGCCAAATGGATCGTTCTTATTTCTAGGTAAGTGGATGATGCACATCAATTCTTCTTCCGAATAAAATGTGTTCAACTTTTTTTCTTGGAATCATGGCAAATTTTCATCGAATTCAAAAACTTCCTTTTTTTTCTGTTTATTCTCTTTCAGGGGTGAATGTTCTTTTGAGATAAAGGTGCGAAATGCTCAATCGGCTGGCTTTAGTGCTGCCATAGTTCACAATGTTGGCAGCGAAGACCTCGGTAATTTTATGAAATACATTCCATTCACTGAGTTCCGGGAATGAATTTTGTTTTGTTTCTTCTTTTTTTTCATCATTTAGAATCAATGTCTGCGAACAATGACGATGGCATCGACATTCCGTCAATGTTCGTTGGAGAACAAACTGGTCGAATAATTATGGTCAATTACTTGTATGATAATGGATTCGTACTCGTGCTGAACGATGATCTGCCTTTCAATATAAATACCCATTTGATAGTCCCGTTCGCTATTGTGGTTGCCTTATGTTTTATCGTTATGATTGGCTTCATGATAATGAAATGCTTGAACGAACAGCGAAGACTTCGTCGGCATAGGCTACCGGGATCAGTGCTAAAGAAAATTCCAATCATTCGATTCGTGAAAGAGGAACACATGTCACTCTATGAAATTTGTGCCATCTGTATTGAGGATTATGTGGATGGAGATCGATTGCGCGTGTTGCCGTGTTCACATGGTGAGTTTTCATATGATTCATAATCCCATATGACACATACAGTGTATCCAGTCGACGATAAACTTATTCAATGAAACTTTGTAATGACAATTTAAAAACTTAACTTTTCATAGCTTATCACAATAAATGCATTGATCCATGGCTTACGAAGAATCGTCGGGTTTGCCCGATTTGCAAACGGAAGGTATTTGCACGTGGTGAGCCCAGGCGACGTAGACGACGATCAACGGATGATAGTATGAGCGATTCGGATCAAGATGATACCACTCCACTAATCAATCCCGTTGACCATACGAATTCGCATGGCACATTCAATGCAATAGCACCACCACATGAAGAATCGTCATGTAAGTATCCACAATGCTTTCGAAGCTATTGAATCGAATCGAACTTCACTAATATACGATTATATATATAAAAAAAACTATTATCTTCTGCAGCTGATGGAACCAGTCCACAACAACGTACGAATCCATTCAATCGGCAACCAACTTTAGACATACCGAATGCAGATGTCGTCGAATCTGAATCGATTTGGTCAAGGATATTGAGGTATTTAAACGAAACGATATTCTCTTTCAATGATTTGAAATAATAACAAGCATATTTTGTCAACAGCGTGTTCCATATGCGTGCAAGTGATGATCAAGACAATAGCCAAAATTTGGATGGGAATCAACCGAATGATGATGAAGTTCAAACAATTATGTCACAATCTCAATCGAATGATGCACCAATCGCTTCATACGGATCCTCAAGTAGTAATAATGTGATGAACATGAATTTAAGTGGATCGATGCAACGATTCAATCGAAATCGTCCATCCACTATCCATTCAAACGATAGTGACGATGACGATGGAAATTCAACAACACGTTATCATGAATGCAATGAGAGCCAGACGATTTTTGCGCCAATTTCAACGTCACAGCCAGCGATAATCAATCAACAAGTGCCCAGCCAATCGATCGCCGGTACATCGTCACATCAGCGAATAGCTGTGGCCGCGTTACCAAACCTAGATTATGATCAATTCAACTCAAGAGGCTTTTCAGCATCATCTCCATCTCTGTATTCACAGCCAGAGTCAAGCAGTCGACGAAATTCTGACGGATCCGATCAACGACGTACCGATTTTGCACGAAATACAACTGCCGCCAGCAATAAATATTTTGTGTAAAACTTAGAGAGAGAAAAAAACAACAACTTGCTATTTTCTTAGACGTTTAAAAGTGATTTAACGTTTGCTGGGCTTAAATTTTCTTTATTTGTTTTTTTTTCGTACAACTGGAAATGTTCGTTGTTTTCACGAAGCGAAAGAGAACAAGAAAAAAGTTGTAATTTTTTTTAAAAAAAATTAGTTTTCAAACCTTATGACATTGGACAGAATGCAAAGAGTTCGAATCCGTAATTTTATTAATTGTGATTTACATTGTAATAGGAAAGAATGTTTAACAAGGAGGTTTTTGAATTGAAATGGATCATAGAAATTCAGATTGAAGTTAGGATATATTCACATCCAAAATGTTAAACAAAGAAATTAAAAGAGAAAAAAACACACACATATATATTCATCGCTCGCCAAGTTCCAAATACTTACTAAATCTGGAAATAGAAAAAAATAGTTTATCGATAAGCAACTCTAACCAAAACAAAAGAATACACACACAATATGTTATATTTAATCATAAACAATACATAATTTCAGTTTGCAGTGAAATTTCCGAAAAAGATGCAATAGAATTTAGGAAAAGAGCGCTGATATTGCCATTCTACCATTCAGGGTTTCATTTAAAATACCTATATCTATTCATGTTTGGATGGTGTGTCTTGAATAACTTAAAGTCTTCTCGAATTAAACATATTTGAGACAAGAAACAAACAAACCACATTCACTGAGTCTTTTACAAAAACTTTAAATAACTTTAACTACCAAATAAATAAATAAAACAAAACTAAGACAGAAAATAAAGTTTAAAAATACAAATACCTTCGAAACGAGTGGTGACAATAGCAATTTTACTTGTCTTTTCGATATATTGTATGGAGATTTTTTTTTTGTTACTTTGTAAGTGAGATACACGAAAGTTATTAGGCTTTAACAAAAGGATTAATAAAATGAACAAAAATCTATCTGAAATTGATGAGTTTTCATTTTTGATGCCAAACATTTCAAGTTCATATACTCCAAGCATCGACGCGGAAGTTTGAAATAAAAAAAAATGCAGCTGTGTTTTACTAAATCTACACAGATGTGATTCGATTTATTGGTATTAACAAAGCAAATATTCTCTCTTATTTGAGATAAATTATGTTATTCCCATTATAAATTTCCACTTGAAGTACAACAAATAAATATATACACTCAAATTTATTCATACTTTAATCGTAGACAATTCCACTAGTTGGTTGTATTTTCGCTTATCGAATTTCTCCAAAAATTCTGTAGCTCGTTGGCTGAATGTGGCAAGTTTGGAACTGGTTTCGATCTCAGCAATATTGGACGTTTGCCTCACTTGTTCGAGGTCTTTTGTGAACGATTCATCGTCCATGACACTGGAAAATTGGTGCAGAGATCGCTTAACACTGTGCATCGATTGATAGTGTCGTTGATAGTAGAAAACGCCCGCCAACAAATGCCAAAACGTAAATTCCGGCCAAAGAGTTTTTGTGAAGTAAATTATTGAAGTCGATGCCTGCAAAGAAGAATCAGTAGCATTAACATTTGGTTTTCATTAGAATCAGATCAAGTTTATCACCACAGATCCGCGTCCAATTCCAGTGAAGAATGTAAAAATCAACTCACCTGCCACAGTAAAAAGTCCGATAATCGTGACTCTCCAGAAGTTCGAACCAATAGATCGGGATCCGATGACTTGCCACTGTACATACATCGTCGTATCAGATCATCGGTGATGTCATTTGATTCCAATTCATTTCGTTTCACACCATCGACAATATCCCGTATGGATTCGGTAATTTCATCGCGTGATGTGTACGCAAATGCCACATTTAAAAATGCCTTGTTGTTATTCCTAGTCATTAGCATTGCATCGGCCATAGATTTTTGTAGATCAACCGGCAGCAGTTTCCAATTGCCAATCATTCGAATGCAAATTCCACGTTTGTTCAGCTCATCACTTTCCTCCATAAATTTGTTGAATTTTTCACGTGCCAATTCCAGTAGAGCGTTGACTTCGGATTCATCGCGTTTGAAATTCTCAATACTGAATGCATAAACGGTGACTTCTTCAATGCCAATATCCAAACACCATTGCAGTGCTTCGGCGAGTTTGTCAAAACCGTGCACATGCCCGTCAGTGCTCGTAGTCAAGTGCAATTTTTTCGCATAACGTCGATTGCCATCCATAATAAACGCCACATGACGCGGAATTTTCCCTGTTTTTATCACTTTGAGCGCAAATTTTTGCGCCCAATTCAAACTACTGTCACGCATCCACGACATTTTTTTTTTGCTGCAAAATTGCTTGATAATTCGTACCAACTAATTGGGAATGTGAAGGTAGAATCACAAGACACGTATCGAAATCAAAACAATGTGATGACGTCAACCGGATTCGCTCGCGATAACTGGACTGAATTCCTGACACACTCTGGAAGTATTAAATGAACATTATTTTGAAAATTTCCAACGAGGTTCTGATTTTCATTTACTCACCCACCAAAATGAACAGAAGAAAAAAAAAACAGTTTTTAGCTCGATTGCATGGAAAATTTCATCATCTGACTGCTTGATTTCAATTTGTCCGGTTCGAAGGTTGTCGCACACTAGAATAAAAATTAATGTGTTGGCAACGAGGAACTGCTTTATTGTTGGTCTCTCACTGCAAGTCCTATTGAACTAATTCATTAGACGAGATAAGATGAGGTGCGACAACGACAAATTGATCAGTACATGATGCGCTCAGTTAAAATCGTTCTTTTTTCTATTTATCGCACACTTGACGTTTGTTTAACGTCGTGGTCTTGTGATCTGACAGTTCGGTTGAACGATTTCAGTTCAATGGATTTGCTGTGTTTGATGCTCCATTTCGATGTCAAAACCGTGGCACGGTCTCACAGCACAGCTCATTCGTAATTCATGACTTGAAGCGAAAACATGTAGCTCGCATTAAAATTTACGATGCGAAAAAAATGAATTGTATTTACATGGAAAATATTCATAAAATCTTATTTTCTTCAAGAAATGAAAACAGTTCAGGAGATTTTATGACATGTTTCAGATCTTTAGATGCTTTGTATGGCGTATTTTCACAGATTTTTTTTGAAAATGATTTTGTTGCACGTTTATCATTTGCCGGCAGCTGTTTTACTCCCTAGGTCAAATTCTGTACGAAAAAAATACACAAGAAATAACATAAATAAAACTTGAAAGCATGTGAATGTTTGATAACAAATAGCAGAGCATCAAATGTTTGCTCTTTTCACTTTGCAGCAAATGACCAAAAATAATGTGGCGCCTCCATTTGGAATTACACTAAAGGCACAATCGACAACATTTTTTCGACAGTGTGTCTCCGTCACACGTACGCCACTCCGTACAGAGTGACATATAGTCACCTCGGTCGCACCACCATCACCGGATTTGGTCGTCTGCTTGTAGGTTCATTGTGTAACGACCGAATCCATGGTGTATATATTCATTCTACAATACACATAACCAGTCAGTAAAAGAAGCACTTCGTGTGTGTATCGCGAACAGCTTACCATTCTATTTCTCTCTACCGCACAATCTTTTCATTCTCATGTATAGCCCGAGAAAAATGAACGCATACAATACGTGAGACTTAAATGGCGTTTCACACACAGCATAGCACACAACGAGAGCTGAATCGTCGTCGTCGTCGTCGTGAAGCAAACAGAGCAAAGGAAAGTGAAGTGTTACAAGCGTATAGAAAAAAATCGTAATAAAATTATTTAGAAAAAAGTTTACCATTTCGTTCGTTTGATGAAAACTCAATTTGACTGCATTGAAGTGAAAATTATTGAAATTATTTGGGTGAAGTTGTGTTTTTTTTTGTGTGTGGAATAGTGAATTATTATAACAATGGATAATCGTGCAATCGAAAATAATATTGTGGCAGGTATGTGTTTGTACGAGATTCGACGGCCACCATTATTGTGAAATTATTAGTTTTTTTTGTGTGTCGTATGGCACAATTTAGACGTATTTTCCCAATAAATTTCCATCAAATTCATTAATTTCGAGTGTTTATCTGCATTTCCATTACAGAAATATATTTTTTAATCTCAAAATTTCTGGCAAATGGACCCTTCAAACATGTTGGCGAGGTAAAAGCTCTACTCCATTTCCTACGAAATACAAAGCCAAAAATTTATTGGCCACTTTTTCGAGCCATTAATTTTTCCCGATTTTTTCCTGCAATTTTCAGGTTCTCATTCGTGAAATTGAAGAACAACAGGTAAGCATTTATGGAAACTGAAAATTTAATCGAAAAATTTTGGGCGAGGCTTGCATATAGTAGGCATCGATTGACCAACCGTGTTGTGTATTTCTCAAAGCAGTTGTTATCATTATTTGAGCGAAGCCGCCAAAAAAATCGGCTTTTCTATTCAGAATATTTTTCCATTGTGCCAAAATTGCTAAGATCCATAGTGCGTGAACTTTGTAAATTTATCAAACTCCGCCAAATGACGGCTGATTGATTTGCATAGTTAATTGAGTTTTTGTATCACATGTTATTTAAAAAAAAATTGCGCTACTATCCGGCACGTGCTTAACATTCCTGTCAAAACAAAACAATTTTGTTTATATACCGATATCAAAGAGCTTCTCAAAAAAAAATGTTCCGCAATGAAAGTACCTTGAGACGCTCAACACAGCAGCCCTATCGTCAACATCACTGGCAAACACGCTGCCTGACAAACCATTCTTAACAATGGGCTCTAAAGTGTAAAATTGAAAGAAATCCGAAACAACATCGATTGAGCACATTTTACTAATCCAATATCAACAATAAACAAAAAGTTCCTTGACCTCGGTCTCGTTACGTCTCTATCTAATGGTAGCATACTGGAGTAATTATAGGTGGTCTATTTCGATCGAAATCGAAACCAAACCAATTCGGTCGCATAAAATAAATTGCAATTGATTTTCAGGAAGTTTTTTATCCTTCGGAATTTCTTTTTAAAATGATTTTTCATAATTTTCTTCGATAGATACTGCCATCGCGACTAGACTGGCAGGGAAAATCACATGAACAGACATACAATGAACTGGTGAGTACATGTTGCATTTTGGTTTCAACAAACACATAATGTCAAATTACGTAGATTTTTAAGAAAATTTTGAAGAAAAAAATTTGGAAAACATTGTTAGTTTTGTCGAATGAATCCCTAATGACCCTTGCATTGCATCACATCAGTACACATTCACTTATATATACCGACTCATTTCGGTACTACGTGTTAGAGAGCTCATTCAATAGATTGAAAATTTCATTTGAAATGACAAAAAAAGCCGGCTGTTAGAATCAACCGAGCTGATAACAACGACGAGAACGACCTCCATTCGATTCCAAGAATTTCACTAGATTTTCCGCCGTTTGGTTCATCTTCCACAAATGATTATTTGTCTTATGTTTTGTTCTTCGTACAATGGCAGCCATATTGATAGAGTGTACGTTGCTGTTGCTGCCGTCTTCCTATACACTATAGGCAAATGCACGCAAACGAAATGAAAATGACCCGAAAAATATCGTATTTTCACACACTGTGTACGGCCACTGATAATGTTGTTTTGGCAGTTTTTTTTTGTTTTTGTTTACATTTTTCTTAGGATATCAGATGTTTGGTTGGAAATTCAGTGTCAATCTATCTATGAAAACCATACAATGAGACTAGCTATGACATTTGTAGATTTGATTTTGGTTACAGATTTTTTGCTGTTGCATCCAAAAAAAAGAATAATTTTGCTGGTTATTTGGCATTGAATATTGATAACGGGCCTGTAGCCATGGGCATGTCGCGATGTGTGTACTACAGCTGCCGATTGAGTTATAATCAAGTCAAAACACATGAAAGAGAGGCGCGTTCCCATGCACACACCAATTTTGACAAAGTGCACACAGCATTTTCTCGGGTTGTTGCCGGGAAATTGCACTATAGAAAGTGAAATTAGATTGAAGTTTTTTTTTCTTCTTCAAATTGTGTAAAGCATCCTTGCTGATACGAGCAAAATGTATTATGAAAGGTCATTGTTTGGCATAGTTTTATTGGATCTTGGTGTTGTTGCGACACACCAAATGCATGGAATATTGTGAAATTCCTTGGTTCTCATTTGAATGCGTTATTTTCAAATTGCATTTGTCTCGCCACACCATCATTATGCTCATTGTTGATTTTACATTAGTACCGAAATTATTGTTGCTACATTTTTCCATACTATTCGCTTATGAGTTGTGTGTAGAAAGTGAGTATTGACATTTAGACTTGTGACGCAGCCATCTTTGTAGTATTACATTGACTACGTGCTGCGTGCAGGTGGTGAACAAGATTTTTCTTTTTGATTGCATTTTTTGGGCGATTTTTTGTGATTTTATCACCAATTATGCAAAAAATCACAATTAATTAATTGATTTGATTTAAATTGCCGTATTTATGATAAGAATCGAAAAAAATGCAAAAAATTTTTTATTTACATTTTTTAACATTTTCGAAAAGAGCAAAAAATTCTGATGACAAAAATGCTATTCTCATAATTTTTCGCGAAAATTATTATTTCCGATCATTTTCCATGTTTGATATTTAATTTCGTTCAAAACGAAAAATTTTAACGTCGGCCATGATGGATGGAGAGCTGATTCAGTTTCTGTGTGGTGTGCTAATAATAGAGTCGATGCGAGAGTGAGACGGTTATATGTGTCGACTTGATTTGCTAAACATTTCTATGGTGAGCGCTAGAGTGAGAGACGTACATAGTTCATGTGTTGATTGTGTGCATTTTAGGGTCGAGTTGATTGTGTGCGTGCGGCTTCTATGTGTTGCTCTCTTTTCACTACAAAGGACAATGACAAAGAAGAGAAGAAGTTTCCGTATAACCGAGACACATAATACACAGAGTGAGATAGGCCGATGTACCAGTGCTACGTTCTGCTTTTATATTGTTTACGTTTCTACGGAACATTACAATGTACTATGTATGCTCTGAATGTGTGATTTCATTGTATGCTGCACACATAAAACTCAAAACAGAAAATGAATATACACTCTTTGTGATGCTGCAAAGATACAAAAGGCAATATGTACCAAAATTAAACAAGATGCTAAAATGAAATGCAAAATAATCTTGAATAGGCCCTTTGATCCTCTGATGAATGATTTGGATTTAAACAAAAATAATGGAGTTTTTTTTGTAACGAATTATGTTTTGTTTTTCTTTTGACACATTAGGAGCGGCAATATGCTCACATCGGTCCAAATCATTTGGTGGAAATATGTGCCAGAGTCACGACACTGTTGGACAGACAAATGACGCCAAGCGTGGCTGGCATTCAATCATTGTTGGGTGCCGGTCGTCAAAGCGCGTTGCGATCAGAAACAAACAGTTCGAAACCGAAATCATTAGTCGATTACTGCACACGAATACATTCGATGCCGCTGCTCGATTCAAATCGAAAATTTACACATAATCTAGGTGAGTGACGCAAATCATATCCACTTTCCTTTGAGAATGGCTCTAAAATTCAACACAAAATTGACCAATGCTCTTCACTTTATTCCATTTCCAGTTAAAGTTTTATATGGACGTGAATCGTCCGGTTCGTGTACTCGAAAACTAGCGATAACAAATCAGTTTTACAGTAAGGCACAGTTGCAACGCCGAACGCTGGGCCATTTGTCAGCGGTGTACTGTGTCTTATTTGATCGATCCGGCAAATACATAATCACCGGTGCCGATGATTTGCTCGTCAAACTGTGGAGTGCAATCGATGGTCGATTGCTGTGCACATTTCGCGGTGCATCGGCCGAAATCACTGACATTGCAGTGAACTTAGAAAATACCTTACTGGCAGCTGGTTCATTGGATCACATTGTACGCGTGTGGGATTTGCAAACGGCCAGTCCAGTTGCAGTTCTTTGCGGTCACACTGGCCGAATTACATCCGTGAACTTCTGCCCGTCACCGAGAGAGCATCTCAAATACCTCGTGACAACAAGCACCGACGGTTCGGTTGCATTCTACCAATATGCAACGTCACGAGATGGAAAAACAAATTTTGCGTAAGTTTCAAATCGAAATTGAATTTTATTAAACCAGGTTCTTCCCATAGTTTTCAAGCAAATTGTTATTTATAATTACAAATTGATCTCTTTGCAGACCAAAGCCCACACAATATCACGAAAAAATGCGTCCAGGCCAAGCGCAAATGATGAATGCAGCATTTTCGCCAGGTGGTCACTTTTTGGCGGCCGGTTCAGCTGATCACAATGTGCGAGTGTATCACATGGCCGAAGACGGGCCAAAACGTATCCTAGAAACCGAAGCACACAGTGACACCGTTGATTCAATTCAGTGGGCACACAACAGTTTACGTTATGTGTCTGGTAGCAAAGATGGTACAGCGCTTGTATGGCATTTCGAAAGACAACAATGGAAATCAATGCGACTGGAGATGACAGAGCGGCTACCAACATGCCCAACTCCGACAGAAAAGGACAAGAAATCAAGCGTTACAATGGTCGGCTGGGATTTAACTGACGAATTCGTTTTTACTGCGGTCAATGATTTCACGGTGAGTCAACTGGAAAATACTATGTACATGTCTAATGAAATACTAATGTTTTTTTTGTTGTAAAATAGATAAAAGTATGGAATGCAGCCACAGGCAAATTGCATCGAGTAATGCGCGGCCACACCGACGAATTGTACGTGCTGGAATCGCATCCAAAAGATGCGCACATTTTAATGTCAGCCGGTCACGATGGAAAGATGATCATTTGGGATGTGAAGGAAGGCGTTTCATTGGTCAGTTTTACAAATTTGATTGATGGACAGGGTCATGGTGGCTTGTATGACGCAAAATGGTCACCAGATGGTACAATGATTGCGGCAACCGACTCCCATGGCCATATGTTGATGTATGGATTTGGTGATGGGCATAAAAGACTGAAAGAGTTACCGCCCGAATTGTTTTTCCACACCGATTATCGGCCGCTCATCCGTGACACGAATCATTTTGTGTTGGATGAACAAACACAGACTGCACCACATTTGATGCCACCACCATTTCTTGTTGATGTCGATGGAAATCCATACCCACCACCGTTACAGAAATTAGTTCCAGGCCGTGAAAGTTGCTCAGCCGATCAACTTGTACCGAACATTTCGGTGGGACCGGAAGGAATCGAAGTGGTCGAAGGGAACGCTGTTTCGCACATCGACCGTTTAATTGCAGGTAAGCTTAAAACTTTGAATAGAAACAAAGTTTTCACATGTTCGGACACAACCTCATTGATATTGATATTGCCCTTGTTTTGTAGCTTTGGCAAATCGTCATGGCGCCGGAGGAATGGCTGACGTTGGAACGGAAAGAAACGGCAATGTTGACAACCAAAATATTGACAATGCAAACCTTCACGGCGGAAATGTTGGCGGCGCATATCAACTGGGCGTTGCTCCGGCTGCGGCAGCTGCAGCCGCTGCACAGAATCGACTCATCAATGGCAATGAACCGAACGCAGCAAATGCAGAGCAAAATGCTGAGCAAAATGGTGATCGCTTGAATCAAAACCGAATCGCAGCTCGACGAATAGCTGAAGAGGAAGGTATCAGACGAAGTGTAGGCAATTGGCAAAGTGGAATAAAAGCAATCCAATGGTTTCGTCGCTATGTACGACCGATGCCACACTCACGACTACAAATGCTACGAAATACGGTTTATGTGGCTGGTCAACAAGAGTTGGAACATTACAAACGTGAACTGCGTCGGAAACCGATCATGATAAACACAGCCACTCCGAGCTCATCGTCTTCTTTACGGGGACCACATGTTCGTGGCAGAAGAGCTATTGGTCGAACGCGTAGTGCGAATACGCTACAGAGCAACGCAAATCAATCGGCCAGCCGTGCAACGTATCGCACACGTGCCGTTCATGAGCGTGAACAACAGGATATTGATGATGACGAGGAAGATGATCACAGTGCCACGAGTGTTTCAAGCGATTCGAGCGATGGCACATTGGCCGAAGATCAACTCTCCTCCAGTTCAGACACTGACGATACACAAAGTTCCGACTATTCTGATTGGGTAAATCCGGATGCTGAGCAAGCGACACTTGTGCCCCCAAAACGATCACGGCGCAAACGCGCCAAACCACGCTCATATTCGCCAAGCGAAGGTCCAAGTAGTCAAGTTATTCGTGGTATAGGACGCCGAAATCTACCGATTGGCGATAACAATGAAATTCCAGAAAACTTTCGACCACCCGAATGGCTGTCAGAAGTTATTCCACGCAAAGCACCGTACTATCCACAAATGGGCGATGAAGTTGTCTACTTCCGTCAAGGTAAGTGTACATATTAAATTTAAAAAAAAAGTTAAATGATAAATTAAATGTTCAAACTTATATCCGTCAAGGCCATAAATTGTATCTCGAAGCAGTGAACCAGAAAAATGTGTACAAAGTAGTGGGAACTGAGCCATGGGTGCGATTGGATTTGCGAGACTATGAATTTGTCAAAGTGATTGGTATCAAATACGAAATCAAACCGCCACGATTATGCTGCCTAAAATTAGCACTGATGAACAACGATGGAACGCTGAAGAATCAAACATTTACCATAAAATATCACGATATGCCTGATGTGCTGGATTTCCTTGTATTGAAGCAGACATATGATACGGCCGTGCGCCGACTGTGGACAACCGGTGATCGTTTCCGATGCATGATCGATGATGGTTGGTGGATTGGCCAAATTACCGGCCGCGTTCCATATTCGGACGAGTTTCCCGATTCGTTGTTCATGTGTTTCCAAATTCGCTGGGACAGCGGTGAAACAGAGCGTATGAGTCCATGGGACATGGAACCGATTGACAATAGCCGAATGCCAAATGAAGTTGGCGGCGTTGTTCATGTACAAGGCGAAGAATTACAGATGATGCTCTATCAGCCAACCAGTGAAGAATGGCCACGCGGTGATCGTGATGGTACATGCCGTCGAATTGTTGCCGGTTTAGAGGAAGTTATGGGTCTTGCGATAGCCGATCCATTTTTGGTGCCTGTTGATCTTAACATTTATCCATCGTATGCATTTGTTGTGGAGTATCCAATTGACTTGACCACAATCAAAGCACGTTTCGAAAATCATTTCTATCGGCGCATCGCATCCGCACAATTCGATGTACGATATTTAGCGACGAATGCTGAAAAATTCAATCAAAGCGACAGTCACATCGTGAAAAATGCTCGAATCATCACCGATCTATGTCTGCGAATCATACAGTAAGTGGGCGTTATTTTTTTTTAGCCTATCCCAATGATTGAGTTACGTTATTTGCACGCGAATTTGTGAAAATTTGTTTGCAATATTGCCATATGGCTAATTTTATTTGCTTGAAATTTGCAGGGATAGCGATATTGATGTAAACGCAGTCTACCACCAACTCGTTGCTACATACACATCAGACTCAGACGACCAAAACCCAGGAACGAGCACGGGCCACATCACTCCTTCTGGAAGAAGACGGTTTGTAGCCTATCGACAGATTCATTTGATATGTTTTATTGAATCAATATTTCGGTTCCAGATCTCGCAGAAATGCAGCACTGAACAGCTCTGGAAGCAGTGGTAGTGGAGACTGGCGAGATAAATGCCGACAAGTTTTGGAAATCATTTGGAATCATGAAGACTCTGAACCGTTTAGAGAACCAGTCGATACAATTGATCATCCAGGTAATTACATTTTTCGTTTCGAATCAACCACTTTTTTCACAGTTTTTTTTTTTGAAGATGATTGACTTTGACACAAAACATTACTATTTTTGGATATAATAAGAGTGGAGCTAAGAAAAATAATGAAATCTTTTAAAATTCCAGATTATTTGCAAGTCATCGACACTCCAATGGATTTACGAACGGTCAAAGAGGATCTATTGGGCAGCAACTACCAATCGAAAATGGAATTTTTGAAAGATGTCCGTATGATTTTTACCAATTCTCGACACTATAACACCAATCCACGATCAAGAGTAAGTTTCAATTATACATTCTCCAATCAAACACACACACACACAAAACAAAAAATTCATTTTACTCATTCTTCTTTCCTTCATGCTTTGTCTATTCTATTCATAATAATCAAACGTTCATGCTCGAAATATTTCGCAAAAAAAAAACACTTGCACAAAAAACATGAATATTTTGCCACAATTTCCTCCTCCATCGTTATTCGAATCAAAATTCATAAAAAAAATGTCATTGTTAACCCAAAGGAAACAACGTCGGTAAGCGAACAAAAAAGCCTTCATCATATAGATAATTACTCGCAATTTAAGTCATTTCCATTTCGAAAACCCTTTTTTTTATTTATTTCGATCAAAATTTGCATGAAAAAGTTGAAAATGTCATTGAATCGAGAAGGCTTCGCTTGCAGCACACAAAATTTTAATTGGCAATTTGTGTCAATCCTTTTGTATTTATTTTCAAAATTCAAATGAAACCAAATCTCATATAACTTTGTGGTGTTTTTTAAATCATATTTTCAAAAAGCTAATCATGTTTATTTGTGTATACTATTCCTCATTTATTTCGTTTGATTCGTTTTCTCGGACCGGAGCTTTAAAGCAAAATCTAACTGAATACAATTTAATTCTCTTTCACAGATCTACACGATGACATTGCGGCTGAGTAATTTGTTTGAAGAGCAAATGAAAAAGATATTCAAACGGTCATCATCACGATTGAATCGATCGAATCGATCGAATCGAGGTCGAAATGAACGGCGCCGAAATGGTGCGTCCACATCACATGCGCACACAAATGATGGCCCGAGCACGTCACGCACGTACACACGAGTACGACGCCATAGTAGCGATGAGGAGCAAGAAGTGGATGTGATGAATGGTGAAACGCCATCGACAAGCACGGGCCGACCGATGCGACAAATTCGAGTACGCCAAACAAATCGAACGGCCAATGGTGTTTCATCGTCGAACAATGAAGCCGGCCCAAGTGGTTTTCGTAACAAACGAACGCGTCAACTGCAAAGCGACAATGGAATGAGCGAACAGAGCAGTGAATCTAGTGAGAGTGAATCGAGTAACGAATCGGAGAATTACGATCCAAACGAACCAAAGAGCAGCCGAAAAACAAAAACAGCGAAAAAGAAAGAGCAACGCACGAATGGCACGAATTCATCGAAACGACCACGTCGTCTCGTTCTGCACGAATCGTCCGATGACGAACAGGTCGATGAAGAGCCACCAACGGTGCCGGTGAGCAGTCAAAATGGTAAACGTGCAAGAGGTCGACCGCGAAAAAATCAAATTAGTGACGATGAAAGTGAAGGCGACGGAAATGAGTCAGAGGCGGAGGAACAATCAGACGATCAGAGCGAAGAACAAAGTGAAGAAGAAGCGGCGGAACAAGATAGTTATCGACCAAAACGAATGGCAGCACAACAATCACTCGTTCGATCGACGCGACGAAGTAGCCGACGAAATCAATCTGACGACTCTGACACACCACTGCGGCCACGGCGAAATACATCGAAACGAGTGCAAGAGGACGATAGCTATGATGAATCCGAAATTACCACATCATCAAATCGTCGCACGGTGACAAACCCACAGGAGCAACGCACTCGGACACGTCGTCAAATGAACACGTCGCCCGATCATGAGGAATCTATCCATGAAGAATCAGTGAGACCGACTCGATCCACGCGACACACACTGAATTCCATCCGAAATAATGGAACGATCGCACAGGATTCGGAAGAAGACAGCGATGACGAAGTGCTTAGTCATATTGCTAGACAAAATCGACCGAAGCGAAGTCCGCGCGGCCAATCAGCTCCTTCAATGCCAACATCAACCGAATTTGTTGACACTTCGTCGCCGATTCATCTGAATGGCACCCCCCTACCTCGTACTCGGGAAATGATTCGACGCAAACAATCGGCCATTTCGACAAGTAGCACATCAGCTGTGGTGTCGGCGTCGAGCCCAACCGGTTATCATAGTGTAACACGCTCTATGACAACTACAGAAACGACATCACAGATTGAAATACGAAGAAATCAGGTGAGTTTCGGAAGACCTAAGCAAATTGAATTACTTGAATACAGATGATGAGTTTTGGTAATTCTAAAAAATGAATTCTTTTCAAATATTCTCGATTCCAGGTACAAGAAGATCACAACTATGGCGAACCAGGCCCATCTACCCTACGCTATTCACGGCGGACACAATTGTCACGACTTCAACGCAGCACCGAAGAGCTTGATAAATCCGTTGCAAGCAACGCCGATTGTCCAGTCGATCCACTTCGAATACCTGAAAGCATATCCGGCCGCTTGCGAAATCGAACACCGCGAAGTAATGCACATGTTGACAATGAAAATGACAGTGATCCAGACGATGACAAGCCGCTGCATTTAATGGTCACCGAATCACCAACACGTGGCAGATCGAGCCGACATCCAACGCGATATTCCGATGAACACGTTAGCCAGTCACCGGCTGGATCATCAAGTGTGCCCACCTCATCGACGCGTAGCGGCCGAACGCAAAAACGGCCATACTACAACGAAGAATCGGACGAAGAAGAGAGTCATCGATCGAAACGGCAAACTACTCAAGGCCGGTACGTACAAATCAACCGTCCATCCACTTAGCATCAGTCTTATTTATTCAGAATAATTGAATTTTAAATGTTTTAATTTACAGCACCACATGGAACAGTTCAGGCAGTGGCAATCCAACTACACGCCGGGAAGTGAATAAGGGCCAGTATTTTGAAGGCGACTCGTCGAACAGTGATTTCGATGAAAATGACGATGAGGAAGAAGCGGAAGAGCAAATCAGTATCAGTAGTCGTGGTCGAGTGCGAAAAATATCGTCAAAGGTGCGTGGATACTTCCGCGAATAAGTTTTTGCTAGCACTAACACAAAACACACGCATGAAAAACAAAATGTTTCAAGCAATTCTGAAGATGCATACGAATTTTTTTCTGACTCGATAGTTTGTAAAACGTACGGCGTTACATAAGTGAATGTTTTGTTCTTGTCAATATTGTACAACAGCATAAAATCGTATTTTTTTCACACAAAAAACCGACAAAGCGATGTGTACCTCAACATGAATAACATATGCAAAAAACATAAAAACTGCCTTTGGTTTCATAGCACATAGAAACGTTTCTTTCGCATCAATCAAACACTTCTTCCTTCCACCACTATCGGTTCATTGCTAATGGGTGCAGCGAAATAATGTAGTAGAATTGGGCGCGGCGTTTTTTTAATTAACACATAATCCAGATAATAATTTCTATTTAATTAGCTAATTTGAAGTAATTTTTAGTTAATTTTTGTTCCTTTGCATTTATTCTTATGATTTTCTTTCTATTTTTTTCCCTCTTTTTTTTTTCTCTCTACAAACCATTTAGATGAAAAAGATTCGTTAGAGTCAACACCTTCAATCGATGTAAAATTCTACTTACACAACAATGATTTCTATCCAAACAAACGAAAAACGATTGCGATTTTCCCTTGTCTTCTTACTTCCAATTATTTGTGAACTTTTTCATTGGTACAACTTTCGTTAAAATAATTATAGTTTTTTTTTCCCTTTATTTCCTTCGATGAGCTACAAATATATTCTCGTAGTCTATGAAATAATCTCATTTATTCGAAAATTAGAAGTCTGACTAATTATTTAGTTATTAGTTTATATAAACCATGTTCTTGTACATCAGAAACAAAAGCACACGCGTGCTAAATAAAGAAAAAATAAATACGAAACACATCAACAAAATGAACAAATCCAATGTGAAATTAAAAGTCTTTATTTGAAGGGATTTCAAACGAAGAAGAAGCGACAAAAATGCATTATTGACTATATGCGAAACAAATCACTGAAACTAAATAAAAAATCCATTACGAATTTCATTGAGTTAATCAAATTATTATTATTATCATTCTAATTATTGCAAGTGAATCCCATGCAAACATGTTGTATTTGTAAAGTTTGAAACGAATAATATAAATAAAGAAAAAAATGTTATAGTGCATAAGTAAATACGCCGAATTCAAGTAATTCAATAAATTATTAGAAAAATACATTTTTGACAGAAACGGAGTTTTTTGTTTTACTTGCCATTTTTTCACCTTTAAAGCGGTCCAAGATGCACTCTTGTAAGTACTAAAAACCGACACAAAATAATAAATAAAACTCTTGTCTGTTTATTTTTGGTTTTTTTTTTTTATTATGTATAATGAATAATAAAAGTTTAGATTCTCTAAAAAGAGGAAAAAGGGTGAGATTCATGCTAACATTGTTTAAATTGTAAATAAAGTAAATTGGATTTGTTATAAATGCAACTACACGTAAATTTATGATGCAAAAGCAAATCGATTATGTTGAAATTACTGTTTGTTTTTTTGAATGAAAATTTTCTTGTTGGTGACAGTGACTTTGCCTTCGGATGTTGCATTTGTTTGTTGAGGATAATTGGTGAGCATCGGTTGTTGCGATAGATTCCGTTTCATTCCATTGTTCGAGCTGAAGATATGTTTCAGCAGGCTGATTTTTTGCTTTTGCTTATGATAAACGTCCATTGGTCCGGTGGTGTCGCGTTTCGAACTGGTGGCCAGAGCAGTGTTTGCAAAGCGATACGAATGACGTTGCTGTTGGCCCGTGCCACTGTAGTCATGGATACCATGGAAACCCAATTCGTTGCCAAATGGAAGATGTCGATTCTTGGGATGGATTAAATGTAACGGTGATGGCAACATTAATGATTCATTCGCTAGACTCGACGATGCGCCACAATCTTCGCCAGCTTTTTGCAATAGCATTGTCAGAGTCGTTTCATATTGCTTCTGTAGATCAAGTGTGTTACGTTCCTCTTTCAAACGAATCTGTTGGAACTTATTGTAGAGCGTTTGTTCGCGTAATTTCCATTCATTACGCTCTTGCTCCAATTGCAGCTGCTGATTTTCCAGCTGACGACTTGACTCGCGCAAGTCGACAATTTTCTGAAAGCATTTGTAAAGCAATACTTTCATCTCTTTCTCGTTTAATTTACTTAATTGACTCATGAGATCTGAATTTTCGACAAAATTTCGATTCAAAAGATCGCGACCACAGATTAATTGGTTTTTCATTTCCATTGCATAATCAATGACTTCCTTAGCAACATCATATTCGAGTATTTTTCGCGCTTCCCATTCGGTGCATCGTTCCTTCTTGAACTTTTGATTGAGATTGCATTGGAGGTCGGTCAGTTTTTCGCGTTGTTTCCGCAAATTCCAAATCTCATGTCGAATTGACTGAACCATTTCACTTTCGTCATTGTTACGGTGTAGGTACTCGCTTTTTTCTTTCAATACACAATCCAACTGAGTGATGCGCGTGTCTACATTTACACAGGCCGTTGATTTTTTCTCTTCCTTGGCATTTCGAATTTTTTCAATTTTCAACTTTCCTTCAAGATCTTTTAGCAATTTTCGGTCTTCTTTCAATGCTTTTGTCAAAATCAACAGGTCTTTTTTACGCGTTTTCACATCCTGTTCGTATTCCTTGATCGTTTTATCACTGCGTTGGCTGGCTTCCTTCAGTTGATGCTTTTCATTCAACTGTATTTCGATTTTAGATAGTTCCATTTTGTATTTGTTGATATCCTTCTTTTCTTGACTGTCGGCCAACAATATGATGAGCTGTTTCTTCTTCTTTTGCAACGCAGCCATTTTCTTATTGAGCTCGTGTTTTGCTCTATCCCTGTCACCATTCGATTCTCCCACCCCTTTGATTAGCTCTTGTTCCTTTTTGATAATTCGTTTTAGCTCATCAATTTCGTCTTCTTTTGATTTGATATCGTTCCGAAGCCGACGAATGTCATTGTATATCATCAACTCTGACTTGTGTCGATTGGCCATTCTCAACGGATGCAAATGGTCAGAATTTTCTAAGAATGCTGTCGCTTCACGACAAATCGTATTATTCATGCTGATCTGTTGATTGTTTCGCATGCCTTCTTCAGCGATTCGATTGAGGTGATCGATTTCGGAACTGCTCAAACCACTGCTGTCGCCCACTTGAATTGATCGCCGTCGATTTTTTGTGGTAGCTTTTGGAGATCCAGTGGGCCCAGCTCCTAAATCATCTTGTTTGTCTTCAAAACTTGTGGTTACACCGTTTGGATATGCATCAATAAAATCTCTATAGTTATCTTCAATCATTTCATTTATTTTGCATGAAAAACTCGTCATTAGCTCCGAAACTTTTGCTTCCAATTGCTCCAAGTTTTCCTCTGCATCGCTGTCATTGTCAGAGAATGTGGCATTTCGACCGGAGATATCGGTTTTTTCTTGATCCATCATAATCTCAGCATTACTCACTTCGTCAACATCACTGTTTTCATCGGTTTCTTGAATCGGCTTTAACAGGCGAGCATTTGATATTACTCCCGCTGAACCGAACGATTCACACTCTTGCTTCAAATACATCCACTCTTCGATACACTCGCGATCATCTTCATTCAATGTTTTATTGTTCATTAGCAATTTGCTGAACAAGCCCTCAGCATTTGCAATCAGTTTCATCCATTGTGCGGCAGCAAATTCAATTCCAGGTGCATTTTGGTTGGCTGTGTTCATTTTGTTCATCACATCGGCGGCCGGATTGTATGACGAAAACTTTGACAAGCGTGGATCAATCATAACAGCCGGATCAATTAGGTTGGCAATCGGCATATTATTATCGGAAAATGTATTAAGTATAACTGCATTGCGAACAAATTGGGTTTTGTATGCAAAATGAAGGTTTTCAAGTGTCTCAAAAACATCTTGTTCCAGCGGCGATACGCAGCAAATCAATAGCGTTTGTGCTCTTCCACCAAACGAGTCTTTAAGTAATCTGGTCAACATAGTCTCTTCGTATTGATTCATCAATAAATTTCGATCATTTTCCAATGTCGTCGGATCACACAGTAACATCACAATACGTTCCAGAACCTGTAGACCCGGATCTTTTGGCACACTAATTTCCTCGTTATACTGATTGAGAGTGAGTATTCGTTGTGTGCCCACCAAATCACAAAAGCTTGCTGTTGATAGTCGATGTTGAAGCAAACCATCTGGGCTAATCCATTGTTGTTCGATTGTTATGGTGAAAATGCTGTGCGTTGCCGCCGGATTTCGATTAGTAAAACCGATTCGTAGGCACTGGAAAACATCATTGAGATTGTTGCATTGAATAATTCCGTCACCCAAAATGTCGTGTATCTCATTTCCAATCAGTTCGATCCATGCAACATTCACCGAAAAACGGCATCCACTCGGTCGTTTTGCCAACTCTGTGAATATGTGACAAATAGCACGTGGCACAATACCCTGTTCCAATTCACTGCAAATACCGTCAAAGCCTGGCCCATACATGCAATACGTTTTCCCAGTGCAACATTGACCATAGCTTACGATTGACACATCATAACCTTCGAGAAAATTTCTTATCATCGGTTGCACGGTGGTGCGATAGATAAACTCTTGTGAACATCCATACGGAAGAGCATGGCGAATTTTGAACGAAGATTTTTCGGTGTCCACTGCATTCCCATTGTTGTCTTCGATTGAACGAGATCGTGTAACTTGTACCAAACCAACTCCTTCCTTTTCCACACTTGGATCGCACCCATTTGACAGTACCACATCCAATGGATTTATATTGCTGTTCTCGATATACTTTGGGAATGTTTCCACCCGACACAATTCATTTGGATAACATGGAAAAGTTCGTACAGCTACTTGAATTGGTATTTCCATTTTGATTATATCGATTCGTCCACACTTTTACATTGCTTTTTCATTAACACAGTAACGTTGTCTACTGAATGTTGTATGTTTTTTGTATCCCTTCATTCGTCATTGCTTTAAGTCATCTAAATCGGAGAGAAATTTACTCAAATTTAACTGTCTTGTGTATTCAACGTGGTTTATCCGTGTTTTAATGCTGAATTCCACGGAAAAATTGTAGCAAATACGTAATTTACTCACCTTTTTCTTTCTTGAAGGTGACCAACAATTGCGAAGATTTACAAACAAATAAAAAGAAATGTCAAATAAGGAAGAAGAATACGAAGCATTCTCACGCACACGCACACGAACTAAACCTAATCACGTATAAGCTGTCAAGCATACACTAGCTCTGGTTGAAAATGTCAAACCGGTTTGAAATTCCTTCAGAGTCCTTCTTGCTGTGAGTAAATAGGGATTTTTATTTTTATTCTTTTTTTCTCTCCAGAGAATGGCTGTTATCTTTTAAGAAGAATGATAAAATGATGCGAAGGCAGAATGGATTTGCTTTTCGTTCTTTGACCTGTTGCTTTTTTGAAACAACTACCTGCTAATCATGAGTAATTATTTACTTGTTGTAAGGTACGGTCTGTACATTTCCATATGGAGATTTACAAGGGGAAAAAAAGGTCAAACTCCACTTCATCATCAGTACATTATGGTTATTTTATTTGAAAAAAAAAATTAGTGGTTTTTTCGTCATGAAAACATTCATAGATTATAATTATAATGCGGATCAGTTCCATAAAATTTCCCCTAAATTTATAATGCAATATGCAATAAGTTTAAAGATGTTCATATTCATCGTACAGTGGGCGCATTCGAATCAATATTTTTCCAGTAAGTTTTGGTGTATCCTTCAGTCCTGCCTTCGGTGGTTGTGTCCAAATGATGACCATGCATGCACCGTGCAATTGTTGTCTTTTCCCATTTAAAAATGCTAGTTGATGATTGATGCGCGGCCAGACGTCGTGTGCCAAAACGATTTTTTTCAACTTTGGCAAGCATTCAATGAATGGTTGTATAAAATTTACGACACTTGGTGTGAAATAGCATGAATTTCGTACAATTAATAGCTCAAGATTTGGTGTCACGTTGGCGATCATTCTGGCGGAATAGTCACAATTTGCAAGGTTGTTCAAGTGCAATTCTTTCAAGTTCATTAGCATATCGATGTTTGTTGGAAGGTCCTTGGCAAAGTCAACATTTGTGATATGAAGTGCATACAATTTGTCAATTCCAGCTAAATTGTTTAAATTATCAATGAAAACGTCCTTAACGTCGGCGCTGCCAAATTCCAGAGACAATCGCCGGAATTGTTGACGCCCCGAAATGTCCAAAAGTTGTGCATAAATGCTGCGAAAATCACAATCGCCACCAACTGTTAAAAATAGCTCCTCCAAATCCAAGGCAGCAATCGCATTCATGACATTTTGAATTTTCGACAGATAGGAACACAACCGTGAACGGCATGTAAACTTTTTTATCTGTGGATTACGTTGCATAAACACGTCCAATTCTAAATGACTCGATGTGCCATCCAGTTGAATATCTAAATGTTCGAGCAATGGATAACGTTGCTGTAGCCATGGTGATGCCACTCCGTGTCCATTGGGGAATGCACACTGTTTGACGGTTAAACTTTTGATATTCGTGCTACGTTTTAGCACATACTGGTAAAATTCTTCTGATTCGCAATTCACAAATTCGATAACTTCAACGCGCCCCAAGACTTTGTCCATAATTTTACCTTCCTTCTCTTCCAATATCATATTCTCGAAACGAAGAACTTTCGGGTATTCATTGCACTGTGAATGTACGTAGTACATCAACAAGTCTATGTCATCGTGTGTGTACTGTTTTGTCATCCATTTAGGCCATCTTTGCTTTGCCATTCCTCGAAATGACACATTCTGTATGACATCTTTCAGTTCACCATACTTTTTTACGGCCACAATTCCATTTATCCTAGCTATTTCGGCGCGTTTATTTGCATACCTGCGTCCAAAGTAGACTTTGACCAAATTTTGAATACGCACACAGGTTTCGTGCAGTGCAGGTAGATCGACCGCACACAACCATTTGAATATTGCCTCGAAGCAATCATCGTTTAACCGAAATATGTCAGCAGTTTGTTCGATTTTTGCTGGCCGTGGTGGTTTTAATATTGTGTAAGATGTGCTGGCTGGCTCAAATTCAATTCTTGCCCGCTTCGCTGGTTTCATTCTGAATGTCGATGATTTTTTAGGTTTTATTCTAAATCGCGAACGATTACAACTCAGTCAGCGAAATGATATTTTTAATGATTTTCACAAAATAACTCCTTACCTTGATGCGTTTTCTTTAATACTACTTTGATTTTTCTCTAAAAATGACAAAGCCGACGGATTTTCTGCCTGCTTTGCACTGTTGTTTTTCTAATTGATTTTCACTGTTTTGACAGCAAAAATGTCAAATCATAAATGTTTTTGTACGCTTTGTCGTCGATTGGTGGAGACACATGCTACATAAATTGAGCTGTAGCTCGCCATTTATAAAATTCAATTTTTCAGCATTTTAGATGGTTTAGTAACAAGTCGGTTTCATTGTTGATCCAAAAATTTCCATAAGAAATTGTACCAGAAGCTAAGAAAGTACTTGCCTTTTTTGTTTTTTTACCAAATTGTAGTCATAATCGAGTAATTTTCAGCTGAGCAGATTTGGATTTTTTCCCTCAAAGTTAAATACGGTTTTTGGATTTTCGATAAGAGCAGTTCAACAGAGATAAAAAAAAAACTAGAGATAATCCGTTGCAAGTATGAAGAAACAGTTTTTTTTCCTAGAGACTCTCTTACCATTGAATTGCTTCAAAATAGAAAGTGCCACGTCTAGCATTTGTTGTAATTACCTTTTGGCAAATGACTTGAAGTCATTTGTACACGTAATTAAAGCATTCTTCTAATGAGCTAAAAATTTGGACAAAGAAAGTATGACAAATAGAGAAAAAAAAACTTTTTTTTTTCATTTTTTTCTGCTTTTATTCAGTTCATCAAATCATTGTAATAAAATGCACTTTACCGTTATCAAAATTTACCTGCATATTTACTCTTGCTGCAATCCATTCCGATTCCGAGCCTCTTCGTTCAGTCAATCTGAAATTAACAATGGGAACGTTTCATTAGTCTCAAGTAGAGCAAATCATTTTGAAGAAGCGTTTTTTTTGGCAAAATCAGTATCTATTGATTATCATCAATGTTATTATGTCGGGAAAAGAAGACTAAAATGAATAGGGATCATCATTTACAAAACTCCATCGTTTCTTTTCTGAATAGTCATCAGATTGAAACCAAACAAGTGTTTCTTACCTATTCTTCTGAGAAACCATCATTTGATGTTGTCCTGTGTACATCGAGCTGCAAAAAATGGAACAACCATGATTAAAGTTCTGTCGTATGATTTCGAAGAAATGTTGTTACAGGAAAAAAGAGTCAGATACAATATAAAATTGCAGCCAAAGAGTATTCTCATATACACGATCAATCGGTAATTATTATCATCATTTTAATCACTTCTTCATTTTATCGTTCAAAGTATAATTACCTTTCATAATGCGAGAATTTGACTGGCCACGCACACTGCGGCTCCCTTTCTCAAAATTCAGTTTGAGCTCTGGAATTAAAAGAAAACACGAAATTAATTCAACGTCTTCTGAAAATGGTTGATCTTTCATTTCGCTACGCTAGATCAGTACAATATTTTCGTAAGAAAAATTGCAGCCAAAATGATTATTCTCATTTTTGCAAATCAATCGGTAATTATTATCCTCATTAATGAATCGACCGAATCGTGGTCGATTGAAATTTCAATGAAAAATAGTTCAATCACCCTTTGATGCAGCGAGAGAAACAGAGTCAATGTCATAAAGGAATTGGAAAATTATGAAAAAAAAAAAATGAAAAAGGGAGAGGTATAAAAGCATTTCATTTAAATTTAAAGGTAGATTTTGAAACCCGACGAGACGATATTAATAACGAAAGTGTTTGATTTTAATTGTGAACAAATCAAGAAAAATATCTGAAGTATTCAAACTGAAAATTACATTGAAATCTATTACACGACACTGACTCTACCATTTCTGTTGCTAATCAGAAGCAATTGAACTTTTTTGTAATGAAATTAAAATTTTGGTTTTCCAGAAAATTTGTCTTCTCTTCGTAAAGTTACTGATTAAATCACACATAATAGTCAAGATTTTCAGTGACCGTCAAAGAGAACATTTTGTTCTTGGCTGTATTTTGAACCGTTTCTTCAAACTTGTTTTAACGAAAGAAATGGTCTTCGATACGCCGAATTTGAATTGAATTGAGTCGATTGGTTTTAAATTACCTGTATCAATCAACCAAAGATGTAGTTGAAGTTGGACCATCCTGAACCAGAGTCCTATGTGAAAAATAAAGAGTACATAAAATTAGTATTTTTCGTGGTAAAATATATTTCATAAATGATTTGCATAAAAATATTCTCAGAAATGATAATTCCACAATGTATGATAGAACCTCGCCAGATACCAGACTTCAGTAATTAGATCCGTGTTTATAATCATTGAGATACAAAAATTTAGCGACATGAATGTCACATATGCTTACCGTTTGAGATTTCTGTCATTCACAAGCAGTGATTTTCAATTCGATAAGTCATAGTTGCCCACGTAATGCCGACTAGGAAACGCTGTAAATTTCAAATTTGAATTAATATTTTGGGTGAATTAAACAAAATTCATGATTGTTTTGGGCAGCAAAATGCTCATACAAATTATATCAACAATGTATGATAGAAGCATCACTAAATAATACCAGACTTTAGAAATGCACCCCCCATGAGTTTTTTATAATCATTGAAATTATTAATCATTGAAATCATTCCAGGGTTTTCTTACCATTCAACAAATCTCTCATTTGAAGACAACGATTTTTCCTTTTAAGGAATCCACAGTTTCAATGTAATGCCAACTAGAATGTGAAAGAGAAAATATCGAGTTAATATTTTGTGAATTCGATTTTTTTATCAATTTAATTCGTGAATCAATTTCTCATCCAATGTACGATACGTATCGTTCAAAATACCAGACTTCAGTTATTATCGTTCTGGCGGGGGATAATTTGATCGTGAATTTGATCATTGTAATTGTGAAAATGAATGGTTGAAAAAAGAGTTTACTCACCATTGCGACTTAAATCAGAATCAATCGTCGAAATTGCAGTCGGTTGTTCCAAAGTGACGTCTGAAAATCGTAAGAAAATCATTAGTTTTTGGTTATGAATGGGTATTGCATCATTTTGAATTAAATTGAAACATTGGTTGTCCTATTTTGGCTTGGTTTGAGATAAAGCAATAAATTGGTACATATTTGCATTAGAGCAGTGGTATAAATTGGGAATTGCGTCATATTTGTTCAACAAAATTTGCGTATTGCCATCGATCACGAAAAAAAATATATCGGAAAAAATGATGTTTCAATAAAGACAAAATCTCTTGACAAACAACAAATGAAATCAAAAGCTTGATCTCTTCCTTGAATATAATAAACGTCGCATAATTTCTGATTTTTCCGTTGAATTTCGTTGGATTTGTCATTTTTCAGATTGAGAACTCGGTTTTGTGTTCGAGTAGAGAAAAAAAATTGAGTGTATAAATGAAAATTTTGAGCTCATTCCATAGCGAATGGCCTCGATTCACCGTTTGGAGAAATGCTTTTCATTTTCAAAACACCAAGGTAAACGATGATTGGATGTCGAAAGGATTTCATAGTTATCGGTAAAAAAAGGGTGGTTTCTGTTCTGCATCAATCGATTTAGGTTGAATATTTTTCAATGTTTCTTACCTTCAGTATGCGCATCATGCTCATACTGCACACATTGTGTCGAGTCGCGTTGCGAAGTACATTGGACAATTTTGAATATGCAAACAATTGCAAAAACGATAAACATTTCCGTTGTGACAATCAATATTCGAGTATGATTTGTACGGCAACATTGAGAGTAAACAAAAGGCAAGATTGCCATCGTCAGGATCGTTTTTGGCTCAAGAGCCTTCAATAAAAATCAAACATTTTTACTGTTGTGACATAGCGAAACAGCCATTGATTGGTAACACCATCATAGTAATTTAGGGCACACATAATGCACACATAAACGAAAAAAACGCACACATTTACAAATTTGTAACGCGAATGACAAAATAAAAACAAATTTCAACTGAAAATATGAATGATTACAAATAACAATGGTTTGTCAAAAGAAAAAAGAAAAGTATGTTATTTAAAAGGTATTTCAAAATCTTACATATCGATTCAAATTGTTTAAACTCCATTACAGCAACATTCGATCATTTCGCAGCCACGGCGCAACGATTTATCTGATTGTAACTAGTCCAAAGTTGATTCAAGAACTTCTTCTTCTCCACAACGTAATTTGATGATATTGATTTTTGTCTATATTGTTTTTTTTTTATATTTCAATGACCAAGTCAACGAAAATAACGAAAATTTTACTTTGAGAGATTTTTTTTTGTTTTATTCAGTCGAAGGATATAGTTTCAGTTCATGTAGTACGATCATTTTTTTCAATCATTTTATCAAAGCCTTTTTCACTTGGGCTTTGGCGCAGAAAAAACTACAAAATCATCAGGAATTGAAATGCTGGTACATCAATCATTGTTTTTAACCTATTTTCAACCTAATAGTTTTCTCTTTATTCATGCAAAAACGGTGCATGTTTTAACGGTATTCAAGTTGGTAAACGAGCGTATCATTTGATCCAATCATTGGATTATCATAATTAAAGCCTTTATCTAGGCATATATTTAGCTGGCGGTGAACAGAGCCAAGAATTCGCTGTATGCATATCATGCACATTTTCATAGTAGATTTATGTGTTGCACCATTTCATGGGTACATAAACAAGACAGAGTATTGATTTTAAAATGTTTTTGTTGTTTTTGTTGTTATTGGCAAGTAAAACAATTCATGGCTAAAATAAGTATTTTACGGAATTAGAGTATATTTTAGCCATGATTGTTTCATAGTGAATATTTGAACTATTTGTTTTAAATGGGCATATGACCACAGTAACTGTGTCACAGTTTATCGAGTATTTATTTTTCTCAACGATTGATTAGAGAAAAATAACGAGTGAGTGCGAGAGATGTATACAATTTGTTTCCGTTATAATCAGTTGAGTTGGTCAATTGGAAATGTGTAAAATAGACAAAAATCAATATCAAATCGAGTGTCTCCTTCGAACGCTTGCTTCATCAGTTAGAACCACATTAGTTCATCTCCGATTCAGTTAAGTAATGAGTAGCATTGTTGATTGAGAGGTGTGTCCAAACAAGTGAACACACCGATGATAGTATTTTTTTGTTTTGTTTAAGCTGTAAAGAGAAATCGAATGCATGGAAACCTCCTAGTGTCCGCCACACACCTCCGAAACTTTTTTTTCACGTAATATCTACGATTTTTTTGTTGGGATTTTTCATATTCAAACCCGTTCATAAGATTTTGTTTTTTTTTTTTTAAATAAAAGTTGGTCATTTGTCATTCTTTGTAAATCGCTCAAACATCTTGAGCCGTACACACTAAGAGGTTTCGCATAATTTTGAGAGAACAAAAAGAACTATGTATATAATTCGCAATTGGCAATCGATGAATGGCACATTCAGTGCATGTGTTTGATTGTTGCGAATCATATCGTTGAGAATGTATCAAAGTCAGCTGATTTCAATGAAATGTTTTATGTTTATTATATTATTAAAATCGAGTGTTTTACATAGATCATATTTTAATTGATAGTTTTTTTTGTGTGTGTGTGTGTGTGTGTCGTCACTTTCTCTAGATAACTCATCATAAGTGGTTATGGTAAAATAAGCGACTAATATATCTAGTTTAAGTCAATTTCATTAGCGTTGGAGTAGTTTTTTTTTTCATTTTGTTTAGTACCTTAAGTCTATCCAGAAGTAGACAATCGAATCTGATTGATGTGAATCAAACAAATTCGATCACAAGATCAATTTTCTTTCTCGCACACATGATGCGCATTCGAATACATCATATGGAAAAAGAAAATAAAATTCAATGCAAATAATTGTTCAAAATATGGTTCGGTATGCAATAGACAAAAAAAATCTATCCACCAGCACTCATACTACTGGCCCACATGTTATTCTAAGATTATTATTTAAACTATCTATACTTAGCTTCATAATATGAACTTATCGGTTACGTTCGTATGTTGTATTGAAAAGAAAATAAAAAACAAAAGAAAATAATTTAGAAAAATAGATTTGTTTTTGGTAGTCGAAAGGAATCCTGGTTGTGGTTTGAATGGGGTGGTGTATGAAATGTTCATATCAAAATGTGAACTCTCAGTGGAAAATTAAAAGTCCTAATTTGTCGATTGAAAAAAAAACGGCAAACGATTGCCCCCAATTTTCTACCCAAGAATATGTTTCAAAATAATTTGAATGCTTTTTTTGTTATGTTAAATGAACTGAATTCATCGACAATAACAAACAGAAAATAATAAAACTTAATGTCAAAATCAAATGGAAAACTAAACTAATATCATAAAATGTTCATGGAAATAATGATGCGCGCGTAAAATACGAATATTATGGAAATACTATAAAAATAATGTTGTGTAGTTGTGTATACGGCGACAGTACAAATAAATAGAATTGTACTATGCCGGCATTTGTAAATCATGATAATATAATTTCAAACATTGCATATATATATATATGTTTTTGTGTGGCCGATCAAAATCGGCGTCAAATGTTTCATTTGAGAGAGTTAAATTGCACACATCCATTTATCAGGATGTTTTTTATGATAGATGAATAGTTTCGTCATACGATTTAGCATCGTAACTAAATTGGCATACAAGTCAACAGTTCAAACGGAGTGTTTCTTTGTTCAATAGCCGTTGAATAGTTATGTTGTTAGCTGTCATTTCGAGTTAAATTCAACACGGCTGTTACAAGAAGTGTGTGAATGTGTGTTTGATTTAAAAACGACGACGTTTATTCTGGAAGCCATCGGTGCGATGGTCATTCCAGTGCTGCAAATTGTTGGTGCTGTTATTGTTGTTGTTGTTGTTGTTTCGACGATTTCCCATGTTATTATTACCTTGGCCTTGGTTACGACCCTTTTGATTGAAATCGTCATTAAATCGGTTGCCTCGCTGATTATTATTTTGATTTTGGTTGTTGTTTCCGCCATTATTACGATTATCCATAAATCCTGAATCCTATTGATTTTATGTGAATTTTTTTGGTTAAGAATTTCAAGTGTTTTTTTTGCATTTTGTTTTTAAACTTAAATCAATCAATTTGATTTTTTTTTTTCATCGAAGAAACATTCGGAATTTTCTTTGGAAAACTTAAAGGAACTTTTACAACAAAAAAAGGCGTGAAGGTATGAGGTGGGTGATCATAATGGAATAAAATCGAATATTGAAGTGTCTGTGTTTTTCTTGATTAATCGAAAAATAAGACGTCGTTGTGATTAAAGTTTGGTTGTTTTCGACATTTGAATAAATGTTACCTAGGTAAATATGTCAATCATAGTTCATCGCTATTCGATGATAGCTTGTTGCGATTAATGTGGAATATCCCGAGAAATTTGAAACCAATCAAGTGAGTTTCACTCTGTTTATTATCAATTTATATTTTGCGATTTATCTTTTCGAATTGATGGTATGGACCATACCATATGGTTGTTTCAGATGCAAGTCAGATATTCAATCCATGACTTCATTTGCGTGTATATTCTTTCGTTTGATGTTCAACAGTTGGCATCATCGAAGATGATAATAATATCAAATTGTATGGTTCAGTAGTCGACGACAAGTGATGTATGAGAGTAGAGTTTCAAGCAATCCATGCTTTTAGTTTTACAGTTTCAATTGTTTATCAGAATGAGATAGCTGCACAATGTTTTGTGCATGATGTACTCGTGCAATTATGCGTGTATGATTTCAGAGATATACGAGATATATTTTTAGAGTGTAATTGGTTGCATTTTCTTCAAGATAAGTTTGCAGTAAATGTTTCAGTGAGTTTCATTCTTTGTTGGATTTGTTCTTTGGTTTCTTTTTTCCTCTTCTTTTTTTTTACATTTTCATGTGTATGAGTAAAAATCAAGTCGATGTTTCAGATATGTTTCTTTTCACAATGTCTACGACAATTTGGTCATTCTTCAAAAACCCATTGTCGTTTGCGTTTTTACTCTTGCTGAACGAGGTGAAGTTGTGGTGCCACGTTTCATATTGATAGTACAAAAAACAATTTTGGCCAGAAATCGTTTTCTCACTATTCAAATGATGTTACACCAAACAAGCTTACATCCTCTGCTCGCGCATCAAGTAGAACCAGTTTATTTTTTCGCGGTCAAGTCCACAGCAAACATTCTTGCTTCCCCAAAAGACTGAATTTTCTAAGATATAACATATGGTTGCAGACAAAAATTCACGGTAGTTTATAGATTTTCCATTCATGAGTAATCAAGAATGAATAGATCAAGCTGGTTGGATATATATTGCATAACACACAAAAAAACTCAGATGGTTATTTCACGACAACATATATGTCATGAAGGTATATATGAATCATATGTAATTCGTATTCAGTTTTCAGTGAAAAAAAAAATTGATAATAAACATCATTGCAGGTAATCTCACTTTGATTGTGTTTCATTTCAACGGAGAGAGAAACATGCGTTGCGTTCACAGACTGTTGAAAACAAACCAAACTTTAAATTCAAATGTTCCGAGATATAGAGTGAAAAAAAAACGTGTTTCCATTATAATAAGTATCGTTGTGATTGCACTTGGAGCTCAATGAATTTGTTGATTTAACTCAACGAAGAATTGGAACTATTTCATAATGAATGTGTTTCTATCGTTCCTTCAATAAGACACTTCAAAAGATGTATCCCGAGAAAATCATGGAAATATTTGTTCTTCTTTCAAAACTAATTTTCTTTTTCAGTTTCGTTGAAACAATGAGAGATGAGCTCCAAATCTACTGGAAATGCAGTAGAATATGCTTTAGTTTTTCTTTTCTTTTCTTTTCAGGTATTCTTAAGTATTAGATATTTGAGCAAAGTATTGCACATTTGTAGTAAATCAGATGATGATTTCAATCGATTTTTAGTACGAGTAATAAAAGCGTCACTAACCTGATTGTTTCCAGCGCCGAAATTGCGATTGTTGTTGAAGTTCTTGCGGCCGCCGCCACTGCCACCGCCGTTGCCGCCATTGTTGCTGCCACCACCGTTTCCGCTTGCACCAACCAAGCTCTCAAAATCGTTAGCGACAACATTGCCTTGATTCAAGTCGTTTGCATCCATCATCAACTGTTGTGCCTGTAACAAAGAAGAATAAATGCATCCATAAGTCAACGCAATTCATTGGGAACATGCATTAAATTGTGTTTAAAAAAAAAACAAAATCAGATGTGGTTGAGGTTAATATCAAATAAATTCATCAACACGGACCAATTATTTTCATCATTGAAAGGGAAATGCTAGAATTCCGTAGTATTCAATATTGTTTACCTGCATGAACAAATTAGTTTCTTGTTGTTTCAAAAAGTCGTTGTTTTGTTGTTGTCTGCGACGGAGTTCGTCATCTTGTCGAGTGATTCGCATGTTCATATCATCTTCACGGCGACGCAATTGATCTTCAGTATCCTTACGTGCTTGCTCTGCAAAACGTTCCTTCTTCTCCCACTCAGTTTTGCGATTCTCTCTATCCATCTCACGGGCTCTCAATTGTTCGCGTAGCATTTCGGTTTCATGTTCGTAGCGTGCGTATTCCATTTGTGCTTCCAATTTCTCTTCGTCGAGCAACATTTCCCGCTTGAGTGCATCGTACTTTTGTTTATACAATTCGTGCAAATTCTTCCAACGTGTGCCGTACTCGTGCTCAAATGAATTTTGGTCGGCAAAACGTGGACCATTCTGGCGTGAATGTTGGTATGCATCGGTTTTGCGGTTCAATGCTTTCTCGGGATAGCCATCGGTGTCGTCGCTGTGCTCGAAGAGCTCAACAACACAAGGCCGAAGAGACGATGTGAGGAAGTAGCATTTGTCGCTGCAGTAGCGCATAGCGATCATTGCTCCCGATTTGCGAGTATATTCAACAATACCCTCACCAGTTGGCTTTCCACGGTCGTCGACGACAATAACAGCACGTTCGACCTATTGAACAAGAAAAATTTAAAAAAAAAGATCTCATTAGAAATCTGATTTTAAATTGAATCCACAGCTCATATCAACTGTCTCAGCTAATAAAACAACAACAACTAACTCAAAATGTGGGCAATAACGAGTCAATTGTTCAGTTTATTAGGGGAAAAAAAGTTGTCGCTTCTTCTTGGCACTCCTTATAAAAATTGATGTGTTTTATGGAGCTTCCTATATCCAAAGCATTTTAGTCTTCCTTTGTTTTTGTATTAAAAACTTATGTTTTTGGCACTCCGCAACGAATGGGTGATTTCGATCGAAGCGTGGCGAAAAGGGTACACGAACAAAATGGAAATTTGGTCAAATAAAAGTCGCACAACACTTACCGGTCCAAACACTTCGAATGCTTTGTGAAGTAATTCGTTCGAAACGAATGATGTGAGATTTTTAACACGGATGGTGGTTGCATTGGGTGCGAAACGAATACGAATCGGACGATTCTTTTGCACGCTGCCATCCAATTCACGCTTTGCACGTTCAGCATTTGCATGGTAGTCAACCTTCAAGAAGGCAAAGTTCTTCTCATTGTTAACGAATGCCTCGTTAATTTCACCGAATGGTTTGAACCATTCACGCAAATCCTCTTCTTTTACATCCGTTGGCAAATTTCCCACGTACAAACGATTGCGGCCCGAAAATTTCACTTCGGTGTACTCAACGGGTGGCAATTCATGTGTTGGTCCTGACAAATTTCGCAATCTCTGTTGAATCATGAAGTCTTCACCTTTACGGCCGCGATCCTCCCGATTAAAGCGACGACCTCCATCGTTATTATCATTGAAACGACGAGGACCATCGTGGTTGTCATTGAAGCGATTTTGATTCTGGTGGCCCTGATTCTGGTTGCCCTGATTGTTGCTGTTCTGATTGTTATTCGGCGGTCCAGAATTATTCTGATTCTGTTGCTCGTTATTATCGCCTTGTTGATCGGTATTCTGATTCTGATTTTGGTTTTGATTACCGCGACGATTATCGAAATTCTGAATTTAAAAAAAAAACCACGAAAAAAAATCGAAAAAATTCTTTAGGAAAAAAAAAACACGAAAATAAGTTAGATTGTATCGCATACTTTGACTCCCGCTCTGAGTTTCTTGTTCTTAAATTCGGAAAGCACACCGTGAACGTGTTCGTATGTCAAACCGAAAAATTCCAAGATGGCGGATCGTTTCATTGGTAAGATAACCGCATTGCCGAAATTTGGAAAATGAAACGAAGAGAAAAAAAAACGATAAAAATGATTTTGAAAAAAAAGCGTGGAAATTTTTTTCTTTGAAAATGAATTGTAGCTTCTTCTTGGCACTCCTTATAAAAATTGATGGGTTTTATGGAGCTTCCTATATCCAAAGCATATAATCTGCCTTTATGAAATAGCAAAAAACCGTGAATCACGTTTTTTCTTTCTGGCACTTCGTATTGAATGGTTAAAATTTCAACGGAAGCGTGGCGAAAAGGCATTGGAAATATAAAATCTGATTTTCTTTGAAATTCTCTCTCTGATTGTGTCAATCAAAAGCTATCAAACGATACTTTTCAACATTTTATTTAGTTTTAACAGAGAAAAAATGAAATGACTTACATCATTACGACGTCCGCCACGATTATTGCGATTATTACCGAAACGCTGATTATTACGGTTGTTGTTGTTGTTGTTGTTGTTGTTGGCGTTGGCGTTGTTGGCGTTGGCATTGGCGTTGTTATTTTTGTTGTTCATATTATTACCGCCGCCCGTGTTCTGATTATTATTTTTATTGTTATTGAAATTCGGTTTTTTATCAACACTATTCTGATTTGCTGGGGCATTTGCATTTGGATTGGCTTTTCCCTGTGGCTGATTGGCCGTTTGCTGTGGTTTTGGTGCTGCATTTGGTGCGGCTGGACCATTAGCAGCAGTTGCGTTGTTACGTTGTGGCAATGGCGTACTAGTTAATTCCTTCTTGACCTCCATCTTGGATTTTTACACTTTCACGGAAAATTACTTTTTTTTATACCAAAAAATATAGTTAATGCGCTTGGAATTAACTCGAAAAAATATGATTTTCTGTTTATTTAACGCGAGCTTTATTTAATTAAGCAATTTTCTGTTCCAGATGGCTTTTTATTTTTTTTTATGGATTTTCACTTTTTTTTCTCAAATGTTGAAGAGACAAAGAAAAACACGTCTACTTACGTTGAATGCTTCGGAGGAACAGAACGAGTGTCGCTCAGTTCGCCAACTTGACTCGGTTGAAAGCGTAATCTCAATTTAACCAACTTCACACCACTTTGGGCTATGTGACGGATGTGTGAGCTAATGGTGGCGCCACTTTCGAATAAAACAAAGAAATATGAGTAAATGCGATTAGAATTGACGAAATATATCACTGTTGAATATGGTATATATATTGCTAAATAATAAATGGAAAATAATTTCAAAATGTCGCATGTTCAGAAATGCAATGATGATGATATGAATGAAATCGTTCAGATTGAATAAACAGTGAAGGTAGGTACACAGTTCCCCGTGAAATGAAAAAATTTCTCCGGTGAAATTTTCACAGGTGATATTTGTATGGTGTTTTTTATTTTCGAATTGCAAGCATAATGATTTTTGATGTATGAAACAATTAACTCCCTCCAATATCAACACAACACATGAACAAATTTGGTTTTTGAGTTCATTCTTCTATGTGTTTTGTCTAAATAAATTTTTTTCACGGCCGTGAAAAAATAAGAAAGATCACCTACCTTAACTTGCATACCAAGTGCAAAAGAGAAATGCTATTGCCAACCATAAATTCAGTGAGTATGAGAAATTTTGATTGAGAATACTTTCTACCGTATTCAATCATATCTCCTCTATGGTCTAGTGGCTAGGATATCTC